CACAGAACACACTACACAGGCCATAGAATGTTTAGAATGGGTTTCTCACAGGACACTTGCACCTATTGCACTCAAAACACTTCTGACACCTATATTCATGCCCTCTGGCCCACCCATTTTAGAATTCTGGAAAGCAGTCACATCTTCTATCTCCTCACTTTTAGGCTGCCACATCCCAATGTCCCCATCACTTTGCTTATTAGGCGATCTCACTCAGCTAAACATTACACAACCAAACACAAACATCCTCCTAGTGGCGCTAGCCATCGCCAAGAAAACCATCCTTATGAACTGGAAATCAAGGAAAAAAATAAACATTTCAATATGGAAAAACATGCTAAATGATCACATATCATCCGAAAACCATCCCACAGCAGAATCCCTCTGTCCCTGGTCACCACTTCTTAAATCACTCCACCCCACTGCCAGGTAATTCTAAATATGTACTTATTTGTTAAAAATCCTTCTAATGGGTATACATATATATATAACTGTGTTCATATGTTTATATAACTAGTTGACTATGTATATATCTATGTGTTTTTTATATAAAGGTGTGTACATATGCATATCTATCATACAGTATTCATAACATCGTGGTTTCGCAGTAGTATTAATAGCCAAATAGTATAATACAAGTATTATTATTATTCTTATCATCGTTATATAATTTAAATATATAGTATAGTTATTACATTCTATAGGATTATGATAGTTATATACCAAAGTTGTTATAGCCATTACTCTTAGTTAAAACTAGTAAAGCAATTGTTATTATTATTGATATTATTTTTTTTAGCAGCAGTAGTACGAAAAAAAAAAGTAAGGGAAGAGTAATGGCAGTAACGATTACAATATCTATATGACATTTAAAGGGAAGGGAAGAAGAAAGGAAGGGAAAAAGGGACAGGGAAAAAAGAACAAAACAAAAGAACAAGGGGAAGGGAAAAGAAAAAAAAAAAAAAAAAAAAAAAAACTGGGCTCCCTCATCTGCACCTTGCTCCACCCCTTGGGTTTTTAATGCACCACATACAACACAATGTTTTTAATGCACCACACAAGAGCACAGGTGCAGATTGGGGTTCTGACATTTGAAAAAGTATACCTTACTATTTATAAATAATCTTATAATGAGTAATTTATTTATAAATATTTAACAATAGTGAGTGTATGTAAGTATGTGTATATATGCATGTATATATATATGTATACATATATTTAAATACTACATTGATGTGTATATAAATTACAAAAATACACACTAAGAATAACAATCTGATTCAGTAAAGCTGATAATGCTGCTGCGGCTACGTGACTTTCCCGTGTATTGAACTGTCTTATCTATTAATTATTATCATCTATATGTGTGGGTACGTGTGTATGTATGTATGTATATGCGTAGGTATGTTTATTTATATATGTATATATGTGTATTTCTTTATTATTATTATTACTGTTTCATTTGTTTTTTTTTTATGTCAATATGTGCCCTGCCTGTCACTACTTCACATCGCCATCTCTTCCCCATTATTGCAATACTATGTCCTTTCTATTATATTCTTACTATTACTATGCTCTGATATTATAATTATAATTACTTAACTCATATTATTACTGTCATCACTACTCTCATTATTATTACTATAATGGCAAATATGTCACTATCTCTATCTTTGTTTATTTCACTCATCAAAGCTTATCTAAGAAATTGACTCATGTAACATACACCTGAACACACTACACGCGCACTACACACATCCAGACACTACACGCATCCAGACACTACACACATCCACTATGCACAGCCACCATAGGCCCTCGGGGTCAATTTGTATCGGTCTAGCCCCCTTCCCTTTTGTGTTGCTCCCCAGTATGTGTGTTTTGTAAAGCTTTGTTTGTATGTTTGCATGTATGTATAAATAAAAAAAAAAAAAAAAAAAAAAAAAAAAAAAAGACAAAAACATTTTCTAAAAACATGGAATGAGACAATGTAATTTAACACCTGAAGAATTTCTTTGGCGTTTTAGAGAATTAACTTTTCACTGTGATTGTTCAGTCTTTTTCTTGTAATTTGCAAACATGAATGTTGTGTTTTCTCTTACACCTTCAGAGGCCTTTGCTGACCATTACCTGCAAGCATTCAACAAAGGATGCCCACAGGCAGTGGCAGAGCACAGAGCAATACAACAGGACTTAATATGGAAGACCATGGACTCGTCTGTTTTATAACAAAGTTTTAGCTCAAATGTACTTAATAAAGAATCATGAGTGTCATAGAATCACATTCTGCCAACCAGCAGCACGTGATGTTTTCTTCAAAGGAACTTCAATTGACTGAGTACGTCCCAATCACCTTCACATGTGTCGGTGGTCTGCTTCATGCTGCTATGACGACATTAGATCCACACAGATGCACGCAACACTCATGAATAATAAAGAGGACGGGATGCACCAAGCTTTTAACTTTGACTGATTCACCTCCAAAGTCACTGACTGTTACTGGCATCCTACTGACTCATGTTTACGATCATAGTCTCATAATCAGTGGGCATGTTCAGTCAGTGGGCTGTATTCAATATGAACAATATGTGAGCTCACAGGATTTTCCTGGTTAGATAAAGAATAAATAATTTAAAAAAACATAATAAACAAAATGCTTTAGGCATTTAAATAAAGTTAAGTGCTGGAGTTTGTCAGGTCTACAGAGTGCTGTCCTCTAGACACAGGCCTCTTGTGCCACAACTTCTGATTCTACCTCTAGGCAAAGCCTTTTTGGGTGGAGGTTGCACGTTCTCCCCGTGTCTGTATAGATTTCCTCTGGGTGCTCCAGTTTCCCCTGCCACTGATAACATGTACAATAGTTGTGAATGTATTAAGTTAATGGTGATATTTGGAGGCGTCTGGCTTCTGTCATCACTGTGTGTGGAGTGAAAAAAATACATTGTAAAGCACTTGTGTTATCTATTGTCTGTGAAATTAGCTATATGAATAAAGACAACATACTTAAAACATATTGGTCAACCTCTAGTGCAGGCCTGAATATGATGATTTTCAGTGGTGTTCATGAGAGCAGCAGTTTGAACAATTATGTAGTTTCTTGAATCACAAGTGTTTCCGTAAATATCCCCGTGGCGCACTTTGCTGTATTCCCACAGGCACATTCTCTGCACTTGTGATGGAGGACTTGTGTGCTGCTTGAGTGTAACAAGATGCTTGCAGCACCATTAGTAAAAGGTTCTGAGCTCACACACATGTGCCAGAGACTGCAGAGCTCTAGCCTTCTGCCTCACTGCCCTCACATGTGCACTGTTTACAGACAACTCATGGGCCTCAGGCGCTCTCTGTGCGCTCGTGTGTGTGTGTGTGTGTGTGTGTGTGTCAGTCTTCTCAAATCACCAAATGGGTGTAATGCTATTGCTAGGTGAGTTTGTCTCCTGGCTCGTATGTATAAAATATTGGCCAATATTATTTTATATAGTCAACATTTTGCCATTTTATCATTTTAAAATTATTGATACTGGGATCGGCCCTGACAAATTGCTTCATAAATTGATTGCGATAAACAAAAATCATGAAATTATTTTATGCCACTTACACAAATACAATACAGCAGGAAAATTTGCAAAGAGCATTAAGCTTTTTGTTAAATTTCTTCAATTTAATTTAATTTTTTTTTGTATTTAGTATTTAGTTGTAGAAACGGTTTACATTGAGAAAATCAATAGTCTTTCCATTATTGCAAAGAAAATGGACAGAAGTTAAATATTTAGTCATAAATGTGTTCTATCAACCATTATTGCTACAGAGCAATGAGTAGATAATGTCATTGTTATGACAGGCCGGGTGAGATCGTCTGTTTATGTTATCCTGTTGTTTATGTATGAAATTTGACTTTTGATATTGTTTGAAATAGGATTGCTCTTACTTCATGTGAGTACACATTTGACAACAATACACAGTACTAGAAATGTCTTTTTATCACAATAAATAGTTTGGTTATGTTTTTGAGAACAACTCAGTGTTCACAGAATGACCTCAGTGTGCATTGTGCGACTTCAGTTATGTTTGATGCAGAATACCAAGCTTTAAAGATTGCTATTCTGCCATGTTGTTGCAAAATGTCCAAAGAGATGCATTGGTTGGGATTGGATTTTGGTTGTATAATTTGGTTGAACTGAATGCTCTCACTTCAGTCATATTTTACAGCCTGTATTTCACAGTAGATAATCATATTTGAGAGTAGGCCTTACAGGCTTTGTAAAGTTTCCATTAGTTTATTATTGGGCTTTCTGACTGTGAGTGCCACTCTCATCTCATCTGACACTATTGCTGCTCTTTATCCTAAATCTTAAGAGGCTTCCGGCAGGCAGAGTGGTGATGGGTTATTTAAGTCTGTTTTGACATTCTCATACTCTACAATTGGCAGACGGTCAAGCTGTTCAGCCATGACACAGCTGTTTAAGATCAGGCATAAACTGAGCTCTTGGAGGGAGTTAAAATCTAATAAACTAAAAATCAATTACTTGGTTAATACTGTAGTCACAATAGAGATTTCACATTTCACATAGTAGTTCCAAACCAGGATTATTCTTTATAAAGAAATGTATGTAAATGACATTGTAATTTCTACATCCTAAATTATAAGCCGCTACTTTTTTTCTTGTACTTTGAACTGTGCGGCTTATATGGTGATGGCAAATATTTGATTTATTTTTATTTTTATTGTGGTTCAGTCTATGGACTTATTTTGACTTTTGACATTATCAAAATAGACTGGTGAGTTTATGTTTGAGCTGTTAAACCGTTATGAACAGTTAAAACAGTTGTCTGTTAAAACTTGAAAACTTGCAGCTTATATTTGAAGGTGCGGGCTATATTTGGACAGAATGAATTTTCTTTTAAAATGTAGGTGGGTGGCTTAAATACAGTTGCGCCTTATAGTCAAGAAAGTATGTTACATATTTTGAGCTCTGTGCTAACTTTCTGATTTTGTCTTTCAGTGTGGACTCAGCCTGGTTCACCACTCTGGACATACTTTTGGATTCAGAGATATTTGTTTTCCAGCATGGACAGACACAGGGAGTGGGCATGTGGCCTTGGGACATTTCTTCTCCTACTTTTACAACATCTAACATTAGCTCTTGAAGTGCCTCTAGATCGTGAGTATTCTAGCAATCTCTACTTTGATTGTATTGTAATTGCACAAAATTAAATCAGCATTTAGTTTGGCTAGTGTGAGCTAGTCACAGAAAAGCAGTAGACTTTTCTGATGTTCAAGCATGTTTTATTGATGTGTGTTTTTATTCAAGCACTAAAACTTCTCCCAACTCGTCCACCACTACTTGTCTGCTAGTTATATCAAGAATGTTTTACAGTATGGCTTTTTTCAATTTGACTGGTGTTTCAAAGTCATGAGGTTAAAGCTCAAACAACAAAAAATGTAATTATATTTTGCGTATTATGTACAACATTTTTGTACTGTATGTAAAACATCCTTTAACATTCTTAAGGATAAAGTCTCAATCACTTTCATAAACCTATATTGTAAAACATTCCAGACACCACTTTAACATTGCCAATGAAACAAGCAGCTGGTATAATCTTCACCTTTTTTCCTCTTAATTCAAATGCACTTTGGAAAGGTTTTTTTATATTTTATTTAGTATTATGACTAGTTTGGTTGATTAAAAAGCCTTCAATTACTCTTGTGTATTGACTGGAACTAGAACTGCCTGGCTCAGTCTAATGCACTTAGTCTTTGAATGTGCAAACCTCTTCTCCTCACTCCCTGCAAAAACTAACACTTTTTCCTAAATATCTATTACTGTTGTACGGCGTGTCTCACTGGACAAAAAGCCAAAGTTCTGGAAGGATGTAAGTCGACTATAATTGAATTGAGTGTGGAGTTTTTGCTCTTGTTTATGTTATTATTTATTGCAACTTACTTACATGCATGTTTTAACACTGTTGTTGTGGCACTGTCTATAGTTTAGAGTTTGTGTCTATGTTCATTTTCACTTTTCTCGGTAAGTCCAAATTAGTGAGCTTTGTCTGTTTGCAACAAGAGAAAACAGCGTCAAATGTTATTGCATGCTGTTCTACTGTAGTACAGTCTGATATTAATATTGAAACACAATTAATAGGTTTTTCCTTATTCATTTTTATATTTTCATTTCTACAGTGCCCCAGCCCCCAACTATAACATTACAGTCGCCTAAAGATTACATATTTGATCCTCGGGAGAACATTGTGATCCATTGTGAGGCCAAAGGGAAGCCTCATCCCAGGTAAGCTTCTTTCTTCAGTATTCAGCACGTTGACTTTATGTTAGATTTGATTTAGATTAAAAAAAGCAAGATTACTTTTACATATGAAATTATGTTTTATGTGCAGTTTTGATACACGTTGCACTATATCAGATGAACTTGTATAAAAACTTGTGGTCCCATAAAACCTATTGTTATTTCAAACTGAAGATAAATAATTGCAATAGTATCAAATAACTATGGAGTATGAGTATGTTTTCTTGTTTGTTACAACATTATTCCTGGTAAGCTTTGAAGCATTTTTCCGCGTATGTGAACCAGACTTGGTCCAGTCAAAGTGAACCAGACAAACAAGCGTGAACGTGCCCTGAGACTAAACAGACTAAAACATAAATATAAAGGTCATGTTTAATGTTGAGTTTTCTCAGCTTTTTAATTTGTACCAAATATTCCCATACTCCATAACAAATCCGTGCCTGTTACCTGTATTTGCATACACTAATGCAGAACGGGGCCTTTCTTCAACAAAGATGGCAGCTTTTCCCAATAAAGTGTATGTATGAAGTCTCAACATTAGATACATTTCACAATGACTTACACAAAATCATCCTCCTCAAAACAGAACGCAATAATGAGGGCTGTGAAGGAGTGGAAAGATTTTGAAATCATATCAATGTGGAAATATTGATCAATAGCTTCAAAATTGATGCAGGAGAGAACACATCTCCATGGCAACCTTTGTCTGGTTGGAGACAATAGCTTAATGATAACAGCCTGCAACTTATTGGCATTTATAACAATAGAAAACAGATTGACTGTAGTTTTAGCTGCATATTTACATTTGTTTTATTTGAATGGCACAAAAAACAACGTGTGAAGTACATATTGATCGTTGGAGATCAAGATGTTTTTTGAGATACATTACGATTACATGTACCAGCAGATAACGCTACTGTTGCATGTTTTTCTCTAGCAAATAATTGTTTTAGCAAAATACAAGCTTCTGCTTCTGGGAGTTCCATTTTCACAATGTAACACATGTACTTTTAGGGACTGTGTGAATTGTGAATAAACTAAACTAAACAAGAAAATGTTGTAAAGACATGAGAATCTACATAATTGCATGTAGTCCATGATCATTGTGACACAAATGTCATTGTCAATTAAAGCTGTTGTATTTAGTTATTAAACTGACATTGATTAGTCGACTAAATGCGGTTAGGGCAAAATCTCTGCAAAGTAATTAAAATATAATACATGAATGATTTAAGGCATACAATCACACAAAAAATACTATTAATAAAGAATTGAGATCCAGCTTGCTTTTCAGAGTGAATAAATTGTCATAGAAAACTAGCAAGCCATGGAGAAAACTAGCAGTTTTACCATAACTACTTGTAATTGCACTTTGAAAATGTTTCTTTTTATATTCCATCTTTTGTGTGTCTCTGTGTGTAAAATATAAAAAGATGTTTGTAATTGAATGTAGTAATTAGTTGACCAAGCCAGTGTCCACCAATTAAACGACTAATACAACAACTAAAGACTGGTATTATAGCTGATATTAAAGACCTTATGACGGGTTTGATTTATTTAGAAATACAGTTTTAATACCATTTTATATTAGAAGAGAACTACTAAAGGTTTCAAAATCAGTTGTTGGTTTTTTTGTCTGATCCCCCCAAATCGAAATAACCCCATAGCAACGCCCTTAGAAACGAAAAAACTTCACAGCCCTTGGTGACGTCAGAACGGGTACGTTTCAACGCTGTAAGTTGTTTACAATTTGGTATTCGTTCTTTTTTCGCGGATATTCAAGATGACAAGGCCGTGTACAGCGAGTCTGACATAAATACTAGAATGTAACATTTAGGTGTCACTGAGATAGTCCAGTGGTTGTGTTGATGGACTGCCAATCCAGATACTTGGGTTCAAATCCCACCTGGGACACTTTTTCACACTCAAAACGGCAATTTATGTGTAGTGAGCAATTGTCACCTGTAGAGGGCAGTATTGTGTTGGGCATCAGTGGAGAGAAGAGAGAAAAGGCAGTCCTGTGGCATAGATCCATGGTTTACAATGCATGGGCGTAACCCGCTATGACGTCACACACAGGTTAGAGCATAGACAACTTAAATTCATGAAAAACACGTTCTTTTTATAAAATATAGGATTTTTTTTGCCGGAATCTCTTTCAAATTGACATTGTCATGCAATTTTGATATCCACTATTTAAAAAAAAAAAACCGTCATAAGGTCTTTAAGTTATTGTTTATGACATAAAGTCTGCTTTTCAGATATGCTGTCATTGCACTTGAATGTGTTATTTAATGCTGTAAATTAATACTTTCCCTATTGATTTTTAGCTTCTCATGGACAAGAAACGGCACCCACTTTGACATCGAGAAGGACTCCAAGGTCACGATGAAGCCAAGTTCGGGCACGCTGGTCATTGACATCAGCGGGGAGAAAGCCGAGGCGTATGAAGGGACTTACCAGTGCACAGCTCTCAACGTCCACGGCGCCGCTGTTTCCAACAACATCGTCATCCGCCAGTCCAGTGAGATGCTTTACCATGCACCTAAACATTTTATACACCACACTGATCAACTAATGTTCAGGGCATGTTCTTTAGGTTTCTCTTCACAAAAAAGGGAAGTACTGAATAAGTACATGGAGGAGCATGAGTGATGCCCTGTGTGAGGCCTGTGTGATGTGAGTGAGTGTGTGTTTTGCGTTGTGTGATAGAGAGGGACCTCCCTTGTGCGTCCCCTTTATAACTATCATTCTGTTTTTTGTATCTTGTTTGTTTTATTTGTGTATGAAATATGCATAAGTTTCAAATTAATTACTGAGACTACTACTATTTAAAAATGTCTTTGTGTCTCGTAGGGTCACCCTTGTGGTCGAAGGAGAAGGATAAGGTCATCGTGGTACAACTCGGGATCTCTCTGGTGCTGCAGTGTAGACCCCCGGCTGGCCTTCCCCCTCCCATCATTATGTGGATGGATAACAGTAAGAAAGCTGAGATACATGTGTGTCAAAACTGTCTGTTATGGTTCTCTATTCATTTAGTGGCCCGAAACAAGATTATGATTGTGGCAGAAAATAAGAAAAGTTGTCTATATAGTGTGGAATTCTGTTCTAGAATTTCAGTTGGAGGGCAGGTGCCAATACAACTTCATGGGAATCACGCTTATCATGCTTATAAGTTAATGATACAAAAGATAACATCTAAGACAGGTTACAGTGGTTTCAATACTTTTCACAAACCCACACTGTATTTGTTAAAGCTGGGGTACCTACATTTCAAATAATAATAAATGAAAGTTGAACCATGTAATGGAATTCTATCTACTATACTTTCTGGACTTTTAGGCGCACATGTGTATATACCACACCAGAAACATATTAAAAGAAAGTTAATTGTGTCCACATAAACACCTTGTTGTGACCAGCGGTCTATAACAGTTTAACTGTCAGCTTCCATGACAATACTCATTCATCAATCTTTTTTGACAATCAACAATGATGTTTAGCTACTAAAACTTCATGGGGTCAAAATAATGAGTGAATAAACTCTGCTCTGACAACATCCCTAGTCACAATAAAAATACACATGTTGAAATACACATGTTAACCAGATCGCTAATGAGTAGCGGCTTTTGGTCCGAAGTTTAGTTCTTCAATAGATTGTTCCAATCATTCCACACAAGGTGAGGACCGAAGCGAGTCGCTGAACACACTGGACCATCAGCCCCCAATCAACATCATCGATTCACTCATTTACAGTCATACCTATTGTGCATGTTTTTAGTGGTAGGGGAGACCGGAGCACCCGGAGGAAACCTACACTGACACGGAGAGAACATGCAAACTCCACTCAGACAGGCCCTTTTCCAACTGGGATTCGAACCCAGGACCTTCTTGTTGAGAAGCGAGAGTGCTACCACCGCACTCAGCCACCGTGCCGCCCAATAAGCAATAGTTTTCACATGGAGGAATTATTATTATTATACCCTCACTCAGCCAATTAGCTCTCAACCAATTGCGTCAAATAGAGAGAGAGCTTAAAATTGGTGTACATATAGGATTCAGTCAAAGAAGGACAATGTACTAGATTCAAATTCAGAAAAAAAATATTTTGTGCAGTATTTATTTTCTCTAAGGCTCTTAGTTGCTGTAATTTGATATAGGAAATGAGCAATATGATAATATCGGAACATGTTTAAAATAACCATGAACAACAATAAGTCCCACCATAGTATCTCCCAATTATTGCCATCATAGACTGACATTGCCGTCTGTATATTGTGATAACACTATATTTTTATTTCCTCTTAGACTTCCAAAGACTACCTCTGAGTCCGCGCGTGTCCCAGGCCATAAATGGGGATCTGTACTTTTCCAATGTCCTTCTGAGCGACACAAGGACTGACTACATCTGCTACGCCCGCTTTCCTCACACCCAGACCATCCAGCAGAAGCAGCCCATCTCCGTCACCGTGCTCGAGAGTAAGACACGCAAGAAAATTTTGCAACTAATTATTTTAACTTCTTTCCAGCAGTGTCAATTTCTACAGCTACTGGTACACACAGGCTGGCTGTATTCTTATTATTTTGTGAACAGACATTTTGGCCACACATATATTTGTGTATGGTACATATTTGTGCTTGAAAGTTTTACACATCCAGATATAGATTAAAACCTTTTGAATGATATGAATGATCGCACAAAGTCTAATTATATAATTATATTAATTATATAATTATACAGCTCATGCAAGGAAGCCCAGAAATGTAGAGGAACTTTTTGCCTAGAAGAATGGACAGCTTTACCATCAAAGAGGATAGAAAACCTCATCCACAACTGTCACAAAAGACTCCGAGCTGTCAGAGATGTTATGTTATAGGTACTGTACAGTGCCTTGCGAAAGTATTCGGCCCCCTTGAACCTTTCAACATTTCGCCACATTTCAGGCTTCAAACATAAAGATATAAAATTTTAATTTTTTGTCATGAATCAACAACAAGTGGGACACAATCGTGAAGTGGAACAAAATGTATTGTATAATTTAAACTTTAAAAAAAAATAAACTGAAAAGTGGGGCGTGCAATATTATTCGGCCCCTTTACTTTCAGTGCAGCAAACTCACTCCAGAAGTTCAGTGAGGATCTTTGAATGATCCAATGTTGTCCTAAATGACTGATGATGATAAATAGAATGCACTTGTGTGTAATCAAGTCTCCGTATAAATGCACCTGCTCTTTGATAGTCTCAGGGTTCTGTTTAAAGCGCAGAGAGAACCATGAAGACAAAGGAACACACCAGGCAGGTCCGAGATACTGTTGTGGAGAAGTTTAAAGCCGGATTTGGATACAAACCGATTTCCCAAGCTTTAAACATCTCAAGGAGCACTGTGCAAGCAGTTATATTGAAATGGAAGGAGTATCAGACCACTGCAAATCTACCAAGACCCGGCCGTCCCTCCAAACTTTCATCTCAAACAAGGAGAAGACTGATCAGAGATGCAGCCAAGAGGCCCATGATCGCTCTGGATGAACTGCAGATAACTACAGCTGAGGTGGAAGAGTCTGTCCATAGGACAACAATAAGTCGTGCACTGCACAAATCTGGCCTTTATGGAAGAGTGGCAAGAAGAAAGCCATTTCTCAAAGATATCCATAAAAAGTCTCGTTTAAAGTTTGCCACAAGCCACCTGGGAGACACACCAAACATGTGGAAGAAGGTGCTCTGGTCAGATGAAACCAAAATCAAACTTTTTGGCCACAATGCAAAACAATATGTTTGGCGTAAAAGCAACACAGCTCATCACCCTGAACACACCATCCCCACCTCAGCTGTAGTTATCTGCAGTTCATCCAGAGTGATCATGGGCCTCTTGGCTGCATCTCTGATCAGTCTTCTCCTTGTTTGAGATGAAAGTTTGGAGGGACGGCCGTGCCTTGGTAGATTTGCAGTGGTCTGATACTCCTTCCATTTCAATATAATTGCTTGCACAGTGCTCCTTGAGATGTTTAAAGCTTGGGAAATCTTTTTGTATCCAAATCCGGCTTTAAACTTCTCCACAACAGTATCTCGGACCTGCCTGGTGTGTTCCTTTGTCTTCATGGTTCTCTCTGCGCTTTAAACAGAACCCTGAGACTATCAAAGAGCAGGTGCATTTATACGGAGACTTGATTACACACAGGTGCATTCTATTTATCATCATCAGTCATTTAGGACAACATTGGATCATTCAAAGATCCTCACTGAACTTCTGGAGTGAGTTTGCTGCACTGAAAGTAAAGGGGCCGAATAATATTGCACGCCCCACTTTTCAGTTTTTTATTTGTTAAAAAAGTTTAAATTATCCAACAAATTTCATTCCACTTCACGATTGTGTCCCACTTGTTGTTGATTCATGACAAAAAATTAAAATTTTATATCTTTATGTTTGAAGCCTGAAATGTGGCGAAATGTTGAAAGGTTCAAGGGGGCCGAATACTTTCGCAAGGCACTGTATATAGGAGGATTTTCTACCTCCAGGTGGATCATCAAGACTATTGGCCCTCCCAATTGTCAATCATTCTGGTGATATGTGCTCCTCAAATAAGACCAGAGTTTGGTTAAAAAAGTGAAGAGGACAATTCTTCCCTAAAATTTGGGAAAATCCTCCTATATACCTTTTATTGGGCAAATACACGCTATTGAGAACTGCAGTATGGAAACTTCTAATTATGGTCAGAACGGTAGTTTCTGTTTCATTATAATTTGAAAATAGAAAACAAGTATATTTGATATAAAATGCCTTCACACAACCACTAACAATGTGTGAGGAAGTGTTCATTACTCCCCCGAAATGTGGCCCAAATTTAATTTTCTACATCAATAAAGCAATTCTATAATACGCATCGGGAGCTAACATTTGCAGGTCATTGACTTTAAAGCAGAACAAAAAAACCCATCAAATGTCTGTTTGCTATGCCTGTTATGTACTGAATGTTATACCTGTTTATTTTTGTTTGTGTTTTTGTTGCTAATGTCATAATTTGTCATACAGTAGGTTCCTTTTTAATGGCATTATTTTTTTGGCATCACAATTTAGAGAAAGAAATATTGAGTCTTGAATTGTTGTCTGTCCACATTGTTTGCATGTTCATGAATGTTGATCTGTGATTTTCAGTGGAAACAGTGAATGACACTTTGGCTGCTCTTTACAATATCTCTGATTACTTTAGTGGTGAGTGTTTCTGATTGGTGATCATGCAGCGCCCCCTAGTGTCCACCCACTCCTGTCCTTTTACTCTGTGAGGCTAACTGTATATCCCAGACAATCCCCCATCATTGTCTTGTTCAGAATCCAGCAATGAACTTTCTCCTCAAAGTAACATCCATTCTACATCTATCAACATTTATTTATAGTATTTTCAATGAAACAACCAACATTTTTGGAATGGTTGGGAAGAATAATAGACTGTATTGAATTAAAGGGTGGGCTGAAAAAGTGCTTAACATCGATATTCTAAAATGAGATGCAATATAGTATTTTCCACTGAATTGTATTGTATTGTTTAGACATATACTGTATAAAATTAAAGGTCCCATGTAAAGAACCAACTCGCTAATGAAATGTTAGTGTACTATTGAAATGATTTATGATCTTTATTTACTCTTATACGAGTCCTAAATACCAAATGGTATTTTATAGTTCTTGACAAAGTCACGTTGTGGTTATGACTCTGGTATGAATGTGATTATTGAACACGGAACGCTACCCCTGCAGTGATTGCACACACTGAAATGCACTGCGCATGAAAGAAGTGCTGCCATTAACCCCAATGAGATTATCTGAGGCAATTAGATTTGTTGATGCATATGTGGCTTGCTTGTACTATTCAGTCACCATGGCAACAGATACATAATTATGTCAGGGCACATTTCATTGCTCATCTTTGTCCCTATTGTTTTGTACACACAGACCTTCATTTGTGGATAATTTCTCCGTTGACTTCCTCCAGTTGACTGGAACCGTCATAAAAATGTGTTTTAGGAGTGCTCTGGTCTTTACATACGCTTGTACCTCTGTGTTTAGACAGCCCTATAGGCGAACGCAAACCAGGTTTTATGATGCCTCTTGGACCAACCAGCACCAAAATGGTCCTCAAAGGAGAAACGCTTGAGCTGGAGTGCATCGCAGAAGGACTGTAAGTTCCTTTCATAGTTGTTATTGTACCTTGACAGGGTATTTTAGTCATCCAATCCTGTAAAACTTTAATCTCTTTTTCCCATCTCACAGAAGTATTTTAAATACACATTTAACGACACCAATTATAAAGTTGATGCAACTGTGTAGTTAGGGCAGACTCCAGGTTTCAGTTTTGTATAGTAGTCAATATAATAATCACAAATCTAACTAAGACAGAAGACATTGTTAAGCCTAATTTATCGCATGCAAGTGTAAATATAAATGTTTGGATTTTTTTTCATGTTCCCATTATTGTAAGTAAGTAGAAGTAACAACTAGGGGTGGATTTTATTTGGCAATATATATCGAAATATAGTGTGTCCTGATTAAATAGACAAAGAAAAGGAAAATGGCCCACACATTTAAGAGACTAGAAAAACAGTAGCATCCCATACCAGCTGATATGTAACATGATTATTCCAATGTGATACAATTTGCAAAACTTGCAAGTATCATTTTATAGTTTAGTATCAAGATATGTTGCATCATATCACTAGATACAAGGCAATGCACACCTCTAGTAAGTAAAGTCATACAGTTCATACAAAAAAGATAAACAAACCGCCATCACATGCCCATTGTGTCTCTACTGTTAAGTGAAACAAGGACAACCTCGTCCTTCGCACATATACTGTATACTTTATTATCTGCATTTGTCATTTGATAACAAAAAGCTTTTTATCCGATTTCTCCTTGATCTTTGGAAAGCTGGTTGTGACTATGACGTATCTGTGGTGCTCTTTTACAGCCCCACTCCAAACATCTTGTGGCAGAAGGACGGAGGCCAGTTTTCCCAAACAGTGTCTTTCCTGAATTTCAATAAGACACTGAAGATTCCTGATGTGACAGAAGCAGACGCTGGAAACTACCGCTGTATCGCCAACAACAACCATGGCACTGCTTCCCACATCATCAAAGTCTCAGTCAAAGGTAAGCATTCAATGTAGCAAAAGGTTTGTTTATTGATGCTCATGTCTGTATTTTCATTTTTTTTGCCATAGCCGCCCCTTACTGGATCAGTGCTCCTCGGAACCTGATCCTTGCTCCGAATGAGACTGGGATTTTGACTTGTCGAGTGAACGGAGAGCCCAAACCTAAGATCAGCTGGTTCATCAATGGAGTACTTTTAGAGAGTGAGTGCAATCGACTTAATCAAACATGATGTACTCTCTGGGATAAAGCAAGCATTTTCTGCATTGTGACTTATTTTGGTAGACGTACCAGAGGACCGCAGACGAAAGATTGAAGACGATACTGTGATTTTGAGCAATGTCCAAACTGGCTCCAGTGCAGTCTATCAGTGTAATGCGTCGAATGAGTTTGGATACGTCCTGGCCAACGCCTTTGTCAATGTGCTGGGTAAGTGCAAGGCTTAATGTTGGCTCTGTTTTAAAATTACTATAAAATGGAATACGCTTTGAAAGCAGTTGTGTGTGTTACCTTCTTTAAAAAAAAGTCTCCAAAAATTGTACTCATGTCAGATGTTCTATATCTTTATTCGTACAGAGAGGACTTTCTGTATCATTTATGTGCTGTTTCATTACAAAACAACAACTTACAGGAGTCTGAATAATAAAACAGTGAATTTATTTAAAACGTGTTGACCTTCTAATACAACATTCTTATAATGTTTCCAAATTTTGCATCTGAAAGTATTCACCCTTTTTAGAAAAATGAATCAAACTCCAATACTTACTTTGGCATACTAAAGCATACTTATACAGTATGTTTATCTAATTGAGCTCATTACAAATTGACACAAATAATAGATCTCTCTGTGATACACCAGCTGATTTTGACAGTTCTAACAGATTTGACAGATTTTATCTAGATGAAGTGGAAGTCCAATTTACTTAGATTAAATTAATCCGACAGTATTTTGTTAAGTTGTTTTGACTGGGCTGGACTCAACTAATAATTTTGGTTAAAAAAAATAGACAATTGGAAAAAACTGGCCGGTAGAGGATAAATTGAAATTGGTCAATATTGGTGCCTATAATCAACTTAGGAACAAGTAAGAGTAGTTTAAACAATTGTAAAAAAAAAAAAAAAATCTCAACCCATTATTAAACAATATTTAATTTTTTGCAAAAGCTGAGCCGCCACGAGTTCTGACTCCACCGAACCGAATCTACCAGGTCATCAAAAACAACCACGCTCTGCTGGACTGCGCCTCCTTTGGCTCTCCTATCCCCATTATTACATGGTAAGATCTATATTGATAACCATTGCATTTTTTTTTAAATGACATTTTTTCACATTTGTTCAGGTTCAAAGACAGTCAGATCAGCATAAAGAACGGGGACCCCTATGTGATTCACGAAAACGGGACTTTGGAAATCCACGTAGCGCAGCCTGTCAACAGTGGAAAGTACACCTGCATCGCCACCAACAACCTGGGCATCAAAGAGAACCATGTGTTGTTAGAGGTTAAAGGTAATTTACTACAAGATAATATCATATTATGTAAAGGCATATCTTTCTCCAAGTGGATTAGTTTCTTGCAAGTTTAAGTAATATATTGTTATTTTGCTATTTAAAGCTTCTCCACGACTTATCTTTACACCTTTTCTTCAATATTTATTCTTTGTCTTTCATGTTGGATGCTGAATAGTCATGAAGCAACGTTTCAAGTCTTGCCAAACTTGCCTAATTTTCCTACCACACAAAAAATAACTAATAAAGTTTATCTAACTAGTTCCTTGTTCACTCAAATAGTGTGTGTATTTTATGGCTTCTGTCACATCTTTTTCAGACAAAAGTTAAAAAGAGAAAAAGCCTTACATTAAAAAGTTATTACAAGGTTTATATGGTTATTTAGTGAGACAAATAATGTAAAGACACTCGTTTACACAACCCTTGTGCTATCCCGACAAAGTGATTTTCAAAAAATCCTTATATATTTTTTTGAGCTGAATTAAGGATATTTTTCTTCAACTTTTTATCATCTGTGGCAGGTCAGGCCAAAAATGTCAAAACCTCTTAGTTACAACACGAGTGATGTCTTTTATGTTGCATGTTTAATTTTAGATTGAGTTAGACTAGATTGATTATTGACTTGGCATGCTAATCCTGACAATTTCGCATTAAGAGAATAAATATTAAAACAAATGAATAAAACAATGTAAGTTCTTGATATTAAATCCAATACCAAACAGCCCGAAATGTTATGGTCTCTAACCTACACATTCTTAATTTTATACTACATCTTACCTTACCTTTCCCAGAGCCCACCCGTATTCTGAAGCAGCCGGAGTACACGGTGGTGCAGAGGGGCATGAAGGCAGTGTTTGAATGTAAGGTGAAACACGACCCATCGCTCATTCCCACCATGACGTGGCTGAAGGACAGTGCAGCGCTCCCTGAAGACGACAGGTAAGCAACACTTTACACTTTTTTGGAAAAATGAATAGGTTTCAATGGGTTGAGTTCATGTAGAGTTCTCGCTCAGTTGGAGGGCCATTACAATTCAATGGGAAATAAGCCGTTTTGTTTAAGAAATTACCACATGTTTTCTCATCATGCATACGTCTTTTGAATATTGTCATTTCAACATGTAATATAAATTCCTCCTGCAATTCCTGTTTGGAAAGTTTAGTGAGGTATTCTTTAATAGTTTTGGTTGCAGTATACATAAATTTTTACGCACATCTTTTACGGTACTCAGCGTTAGACCATTGTAAAACTCAAGAACTGGTCATGATTGTGCCTTTATTATAATTCTACAACAATTTCTTATGGGCTTAGAAATTGTCCTATTTGAATTAGATACTTTGTCCAATGTGTTGGACAATTAAATAGTTTTACATGATTGAATAAGGCACTTAATGTTTTTTTTGTTTTTGATGACTGTGAAAAGGGACTATAAAAATAAATGTTCTAAAGCATTGCAACCTGGTCATAGACCGTAGAGAACAGTGCGGACATTTCCCTTATCCTTGGAAGATGAGAGCAAACTCAAGCTGGCTCGATGGGGCCAAATTCTTTTATAGAAACTACCTAGCAACCAAAGATCCAATCAGGAGTGGTGGTGGGGAATTTAGGGTTAGAAGTCTCCAGATTGGTCTGTTATTAGGGGCCATACAACAATATTTTCATCCATGGTCCATCCATTGTTAGATAATAGATTTTTCTAAGCCCAAATTGTGTGTTACACATACAGTATGGTTACAGAACAAGAAGAGTATAGCTTTCAAAGTAAGAGAATCGGATGGACCATGGAGTAGGAACAGGACTTTGCCCAGGAGATAATGGGTTAATCATGCCCATCCTACAGTCTATGCCTTTCATAATATTGTTTGCAGGTTTCAGGTGGGCACAGACAGTCTAATTATCCGTGACGTAGTGGATGAGGATGAGGGCACCTATACCTGCCACATGAACACCACCTTGGACCACGACTCTGCCAGTGCTGTGCTCACTGTCGTAGGTAAGGTCATCTCTCAATAAAACTGCACTTATTCACAAGGGACACAAAAGCTAAAACAAGTACAAACTATTTGGGGAAATAAAGGGAAAAAGGTGATCATGTCAATAGATACAAAAGTGGTCTTGTGCCTAATATGACTTTTTTGCTTTTTGCCGTCTCAGAGGCCACGCCTACGCCACCAATTGTATACGGTAAAGGTTCTCCTGTGCATTTTACAGGGCAGTGTTGTGGTCCATTCCATTCAAGCCATTAAACGTATTTTCAGTTTGATGTTATGTTGTTGTTCATCCGCACAATATGATTTTTAAGTTTTTTATGCCATGGTATGCTTTTATGTTGGGTTTCATTATTATACGATTCACTTTATGTTGACCGAAGCAACACTATGTAGTCCCAAAAATCATCCTATTCTTGTAGTAAGTCTATTTCTATTGTATCTTTGAAAAATGCTTATTCGTCAATCAAGAAACGAGTTATAGTTATTTGAAGTGACTGATAATTTGTTTTTTTTACTCCGACATAGTTTTCTCATTTGCAAATTTACCTAGTGTTGCTTTCACTCTCTTAATATTACTTTTGACATTGCACAAAGCATTTAGCCTTTCATTTTCAGCATGTCAGAAATAGGTGGAGGAGGATGAGTTTGGGCTTTTGTTGACTGTGGTCACGCTGTGCTCACAGAGAGGCCGGACCCCCCAACTGACTTGGAGATGACGGGACAGAAGGAGAGGAGTGTGGAGCTCACGTGGACCCCAGGAGATGAGCACAACAGTCCCACAGAGAGTAAGGCCACACTGCTCCTCATACCAAGGCTTCGATAATACATCAATACTGTAAATATAATGTTAATGTAATATGGCCTACATTTGTAAAGAAATGGTGTTGTCATATTTCAGAAGAGATTTAGGCCAAGTTTCAACCTCGATTAGCACTGTTTTTGTTCATAGACCAATTATTTTCAGATTAAAAGTCTGTGTCAAGAGACTTTCTCTTACTTTCTCTTTTTGTTGAACCAAAAATCTAATGTAAAATTGCTTACAGTTTGACATTAGATTAGTTGCACTTTGTGACAAAAAAGGGGAAAGTAACATTATCCACTTTTTTTTTTTTTAAGATTTTAATAAACAAAAACAGCAACCCAAAGTTTAGGGAACTGCCTGTATGCGCTTATTTCTTTGTCAGAGAAACAATTGCTGCTACTACAATGTACAGGGGTTCTGTAGTTTGAAAACTGAAATCCTCTAAAATGCCCCTTTAACTAGAAAATATGTCTACATTTCTTTTCTTGTAGTGTCATCATGTAGAACATTTGACATCTACTATCCGTCACATTATTTCATTGAGTAGTACATTTGTTTTCTAACAGTTTTCACGTATCTTCCTTCAGAGTTCATAATCCAGTATGAGGACCACCTACACCAGCCCGGCGTGTGGGTGAACCTGACGGAGGTTCCTGGGACCAGCCCCACAGCTCAGTTGAACCTGTCTCCATACGTCTACTACTCCTTCAGGGTCCTGGCTCTGAATGCTGTAGGCTACAGTGACCCCAGCCAACCATCTCGCCAGTACCGGACCAGCCCAGCAGGTACAGGGGTAGTGATTGGTTATAAACTCCTCATAAACTTCCCTAATATGCTAAATATTTCAGACCCTTTTACTCACCAATATGTATAAATCTATGTTCTAGCTCCAGATGAAAACCCATCAAATGTTCTCGGCGAAGGAACTGAACCGGGGAATCTGGTCATTTCTTGGACGGCAAGCGCACAATTATAATTTTTTATTTAAGGTCAAGGACAAATAATAATAGTCAAAACAACTTTCTCCATGCAGCAACTGACAGGGTTCCAGTCCAACGGCCCTGGTCTGGAGTACCGCGTCCAGTGGAGACAGAAGGATGCCGAGGAGGAGTGGTCCACCAAAACTGTTTCCAATGTGTCCCAGTTTGTGGTGTCCGGGACCCCCACATATGTGCTCTATGAGATCAAAGTGCATGCTGTCAACGACTACGGCTCCGCCCCTGAGCCCGAGGTCACGATGGGATACTCTGGAGAAGATGGTCAGTGACTTCTATATGAGAGATACTAGATGCAGAAATTCTTTAAGAACGTGTTACTTCTCTTATCTTTAGTGCCGTTGACTGCTCCTGACAGTGTACAGATCATGGTCCACAACAGCACTATAGCAGAGGTGCATTGGGAGCCAGTGTCTATCCATTCAGTTAGAGGAAAACTTCAAGGCTATAAGGTAAAGTCAGATATCAAAATGAGATGTTGCCAATACTATTTTGTTCATCTGGCATTGCTATCTACAATGTCATTGTTTTTCAACGCACACAAATGCTCAAAACAAACTATATACAAACAAACAGAAAAGGATTTTTTCTGTGTTTATTTATTTGAACCTGGAGAATATGTGGCTCTGTACAATCAGAGGACCAATCCATGGTTAGCACTCGGGGACAGGAAGTGCAAACTGTAGAGAAGAGAATCTGCTTAAAAAAATCCCTGCATGGTTGGTATCTATTAGACTGAGGCTTTAAAGGTTCTTTTAAAAAGACAAGAAAGTAAAGAAAGCTAGTACTGCTTAATTACCTGACATGTTTCGGCGGTACACTTCCGCCTTCATCAGAGGTGATGGTGAGACGCGTCTCTTATCAGCTGTTGTTGCCGGATGCGGTCAGTCTTACAGATCTCACAGATCCGTCAGACTGACCACTATAAGTCTCTATTACTCTATTAGTTCTTTAATACAGACTCTATTAGTCTGTATTTAAAACTATAATTGACAAAACCATACACATTGGCATTCTTGTCCATAAAAGAAAAGGCTTTTTCAATCAAGCAATCAATCTAATCAGTTTATTATTTACATGAATTACAAAATGATTTTCTTCGTAATATACATACACACTTATATATTCTGTGGAAATGTTTGCATATGTGCAGGTGTACTACCTTCGAGAGCGTGGCCTCCATGACTCAGAGGAGGACCCGCAGCCTCAGCAGTTACACTTTATGACCTTCAGCGGAAACAGGAGTGAAGGCCGTCTGCCCGGACTGCAGCCCTACAGCCTGTACAGCCTCCACATCAAAGTGCTCAACAGCAGAGGAGAAGGACCAGCCAGCACCATCAAGAGCTTTGAGACCCCAGAGGGAGGTAGGGACTGTGACACATCAATCAGGGACATACGTGTTTTCTTCTTCTCTTAATTTAGGACTGTTGATATGTTGACACCAGACTGTATATAGATGGGCAATACTAAACTCAATGAAGACCATTTGGGAAGTGCTCATGGAGGATGTTTTGATCCAACCTGCTCTGGTTCCTTTTGTCTTAAAGGAATAGGCCACCGTTTTTACATACTGACATATGTTCTTACCTTAGACTAGTTGATATGTACCTGTCTGGTCTTTGTCCGTGCGCTCTGTCATGCAAACGGAGCAAAAACGCAGCCTCTTCCACAGACTGTATAGTACCAAATCAGCTCCCGTTAGAAGCTACCGAACTCTTCCACGTGTTCCCTATTTGAATACAGTTACAGTAAGTGACGTGTTACACTACAAAGTATAGTAACACAGAAATGTAACATGTCGATTTTCTCTGCGGATAAAAAGGGGTACTATATTGTGAGGCGTAATACGAGGAGCGCTACGTGCGCACTAACTCCTAAAGACTTCTCTCTTGCTCACTTCCGTCAATAGAAGCAGCGTGAGCGGGAGCAGCGTGAGTAACACATTTCTGTGTTACTATACTTTGTAGTGTAATACGTCACATAACTGTATTTAAATAGGGAAAATGTGGAAGAGTTTGGTAGCTTCTAACGGGAGCTGATTTGGTACTATACAGTATGTGGAAGAGGCTGCGTTTGTGCTCCGTTTGCAAGACAGAACGCACGGACAAAGATCACACAGGTACATATCAACTAGTCTAAGGTAAGGTAAGAACATATGTCAGTATGTAAAAACGGTGGCCTATTCCTTTAAATTGAAAAAAAAAACTCCTCTATCTCAATAGCCCTTCATGTCATACTCACCATTTTGTACTTATCTGTGTTGTAGCACTCTCTGACCCCAGTGTTTTATTTTGAGATTGTCTTTGTAAATCCAGATATGAGCCATAAGAAATGGTGAATCAAATGTCCTAATTTTTGGGAGACACTCCAGTTTGCATTAGCAACCATATTAGCGACATGTTTGGGCTGGACTTGTTCGAAAAAAAAACCTCTTCTTAACGAGAGCCATCTTTTCACCCCTGTAGCGTTTGATCTCGGGCACGTAGCCTGTTTCGTTTGTTTGTTTGTTTGTGTGTTTAGTTTGCATTTGCCTCTTGTATGACGCGCAGGTCACCCCGCTGTCACAAATGTCCATATAAGGGAATAGACTTATTTTGTAAACTTGTTTTCCAAGGTTGACATGCCATTTGAAACACACGAGTCTGCAGTATAAATAAAAACACAACGTTAACAGTTTTAGCTTTTCATTTGATTGGCTGTAGAAAGTGATGTACCTGTATGTTGTGTCCTCTCTAGTCCCGGGACCTCCTTCCTTCTTGAATGTGGTCCACCCAGGTTTGGACTCTCTCACCCTTGAGTGGGGACCTCCTGAACACAACAATGGCCGCCTCGCTGGCTACACTCTCAAGTACCAACCAGGTATTTCCCTCTTTCCTGTCAGTCGACCCACTTCTCGTCTCTCATCACTCTTTCACACCATCTTCCCCCTCTGTTTCGCAGTTAACAGCACCAGTGAGCTCGGGCCCATCAAAGAAATGACCCTCCTCCCCAACGAGACCACCATTATATTGAGTAATCTGAACTCCAGCATGCTCTACAAGTTCTACCTGAGCGCAAAGACATTGAAGGGATCCGGACCGGACATATCGGAGGAGGCTTTCACGGTGATGGACACAAGTGAGTGCAGATACTTTGGTCAATGGTGTTCCAATGTAACTTCAGGGATTACTCTGTTTTATTCAATGTTGGATAAAGTAAGAGTTTAAGAGTGAGAGTTACGATTACTTTCAAATCAGCTGGAATGCCAAACATTTAAGTCTTTGACAGGTTAATCGATTAATCACAACTAATCCGTAATTGAAATAGTTAATTAATTTATCATTTTTTGAACCTCACTTAAACTTAAACATGGTGACAAGAGGTTTTATGAATCAGGTAATTGTATAATGACTGCAGAATGAAAATTAAAATGTGTTTACAAAGAATTTTCCAAATCAAACAACCCAATGTGTAAAAAGTCATTTCTATGAAGATGTTCTCAAGGGGCATCATTTGTTTTGATAAAAATATATTAAAAAATCCATATTCACTTACGTATCTTAAGATGATCAAAATAATAGCCCTATAAAAAATATGAATACAAGGCAATAGAGCCTATTGTGTCCAAAGGTTGAAATCAATGAAGTCCTCAACAAAATGAACTAAAACGTTGCATGTGAAAGATTTTGTTGGCAAAAAAAATGAAACATTGTATAACTATCATACCAATACATAAATAGATTGAATGATTGATGGATTTTTTTTTTCTTTGAGACAAGCAGGTGACAGACCTTCCACTCAAGATGTTTGATAGGGCTTGTCCTTTCAGTGTTTTGCTTTTCTCGCACGAGTTAGTACACTTGACACTTTGTTTCTCTTTCTCTCTTAAGCTCGTACTCAGCCCCCTGTAGTAACGGGCAAAGGTAACATGACATTGCCACTGGAAGTATCTGCATGTACCCTATCAAACATATTGCCAAAAGAAACTAGTCCAATGAACATTTAAGTAGTTTAGCATAATATCTGCTTAACACTGCATGGTAATATGGTTCATGATATTAAATCAGACTTCCATGACAACCTATTCTATATTAATCACTAGACTGTAACATTAACGTGAATATGATGTAATTAGTGCTTGCAACTTAATCTTGGATTTTGCTGTCTTCAAATGAACTTGTTTCATTCGAAGCCTCGGCATGATGCTTGCGGCTGCTTTAGTAAAACATTCTGCTAAATAAGATAGCATATGAATAAATAATAAGTAAGAGATGTGTGTGCTTTCACTTAACAAGCTTATGCAGAAAGAGGTATTAGATTTTGGTAGGATTTAAAAATGCATGATTAAAAGCCTCCATACAAAACTGTGCTTCTCATTTGCACCTGCATAAAAACAATGTAATCAATAATAATAATAATGTTACTACTTAAAGATGGGATACCTAACTTTCCACCACAGAAAATGAACTATGTAAGAAAAAATGACAGAAGTAATAAAAAGAAAGGACCACTACATCAGCTCTCACCCCAAAGAGTCAAATGGTAACTCAAATGGCTTTTTTTAAACAAGTTGGCAGCATGGCGTGGTCTGATTTGTTCACAACATTTTACTCTTTCTGTTGGGACAAAAAGTTTGGTTTTCCCAACTTTAACACTATGAGCATTTGAAAAGATAGCACAGTTTTTGGGCAGTGTTCTTTTAACAACGCATGTTCACCTTCCTCTTACATATGTCGGCCTTTTCTCTGGTACATATTTCTGGGATGTCTCACTCTCTTCGTCTTGTTTCAGGCCCCACTGCGGCCCCCCACCCAACTACTCCCATCACACAACCTCCGCCTCCCACGTTGCACAAGGGTACAGCTCAGTGCCCACTTAATACTACCCCCAATAAGCCAAGACAATCCCCCTTTTTACGCTGACATTTCCACACAAATTTCAATGAATACAATGCCATGTTTTCTCTGTCTCCTCTCTCTAGCGCCTCCTCTAGGTCCAGCGTTCGGCCTTGTTAACAAATCGATCTCAGAAGAAGGCGTCGCGATCAGTTGGGAATACTTTGGGCACTACAAAAACGTTTACGTGGAGTACATTTTAGAAAATAGTAAGAGTTACAGGATACATTTGCAGAGAACTTTGAAATTTGGCTGACCTCAGGGTGCTTGTATAATGCGATGGTGTGATTCTATAGGTAAAGAGGAGTGGCAAAAGGAGCTGGTCAATGGCTCGCACTGGCACATGTTAAAGAGTTTAAAGCCAGGATCCACTTATAGGGTGCGTGTGGTCGCTCTGGATCCCTCTGTGTCCAGCTCGGTCCACTCCACTGGGGAGATGGAAGTGGCAGTGCCAGGTGAAGCGGCATGCCCAGGATACATGTCTCCATTAGTGTTCGCCTTATTTTGTTTTTTTTATTTGTTGTCTCATTGCTACTCATATTTTTCACTTCAGTTTAGTGCCAGTTTTCAAAGTGATTCTGGCATGACCGTATAGTAGTGGCTGCACAAGTTCATGAAAAGTGGCATTTGGAAGTTGATCTAATGTGTGAATTGGTGCTTGAAGTGTATTTAAAAGGGATAATACGAGGATCCCAACACAAAACAGACAAAAGCAGGAGACACAAAGACACCAACCATTAGAACAGTACAACATTATACCCATTTTCACCAGCCCTATCTGCCGCCGTGTGATACTCTACTCGGCTCTACGCTACCCGCTACGTTTTGATCTGTTACCATATACAGTACTAGCAAGCTTCTCACAACAAACCTGTATCCGGAGAACTTCCTTGATGATCATGGCTTCCAGTAGCATTCTGGCCTGTTACTGGCAGACTCTAGGCAGCTCGGCTTGGCAAGAACCAGGCCCAATCAGGTACTGAAAAATTACCTGGTAACAGTTAAACAGGGCCAGTGGAAGGACTCCCACTTTGACATCCTAAACAGCAGTAACTAAATTAAAAAATAATCTGGAATTGTGAGAATTTCTTGTTTTTAGTGATAAAACTTTAACAATGTCTATTGGGATTGGGTTATCCAGCAGCAGATTCTGCTCATAATAAAGAATAACAATCCACTTTTTAGAGTTTTATACCATATTAAAACTTGTCAAAAACAGAACTAGAATTCTTTAGAATCGTCCACACCAATATCAGGATCAGGAACTTCTGGCACAAACATGTAACTCCACCGTTCCTGTCTAAAAGCTCCTGTCTCTGTCCTGTGATAATTAATATGTCATTGTACCACGATGACATCACAGCAGTTTTCTGCCTTTTGAAATACTTTTGGTAATTTATATATATATATATATACATTTATGTTGAATACATGAAAAATGAGACATAAGTGCTTCATATTTTTGTTCATTGTATTTCCCAGTTTGAATCTCCATATAACCATGTTTTTTGATAAACTTTTAATTTTTTCTGAAAATAAGACCAGAAGATGCCTCTGTGAGTCTTGTGCAATCACTAGTAGAGATGTAGTAGCAAAATAAAAAGCATGAAACCTTCAGATATTGCATGTCTTCTCAGCATTATTTTAGTATTTTATGTTTTTTTATTCATCTCTTACCATTAACCCATCATCATTTCTGTTCACAGCTCTTGTTGACATCCCTGTTTGACTGTGCATCTACAGATATATATTTGTTTACAATAACATGTCTGTCTTCTTCATGTGTCTGCAGCGGTGGCCAATCGGCAGGTGGACATTGCCACCCAGGGCTGGTTTATCGGACTCATGTGCGCCATAGCCCTCCTCATACTGGTTCTGCTCATTGTCTGCTTCATAAAGAGGAACAAAGGAGGAAAATACCCAGGTACATGCGTTGTCTATTGAATCTGAGACATTTCTTGTAAAAAAAACCAAACGTTGGAAATATTGGTGAGATTAATTCTTACAGTATTAAAAAAGATCTAACTTAATTATAAAACCGTTTAAAGTCCATTTACTTCTGTAATTGAATTACAATTTTAAAGTAATATATTTTAAAAATGTACTGTAATCAAAATTATAACAAACAAAGGCTTGGCATATATCACATATTGGTTTCAAATTTTAAGTTGAATTAAAGAAAATTTCCGAGTTGCACTTATGTATGAATTGTTTACTGTTTCTTGCAGTAAAAGAAAAAGAAGAGGCCCACCAAGATCCAGAAATTCAGCCAATGCGGGAGGATGATGGCACTTTTGGAGAATACAGGTGAGCGAAACTATATTGAAATGAGTTTAAGGGGAGCATAGTGTGTACAGTTGACTTAAAACAGCATTTAGCCTTAGTTGTGTTTGAGTATTACTGAATGTTGTTGCATTTGAGGCTTGAGAGCTCAAAAGATGTCTGTTTACTTATTCATTCTAAATTTCAGCTCTAACATGAAACTACTTGATACAGTCCTTTCAAATATGTTGTTTCAACTGGAGTGCAATGGAAATGAAGTTTTTAAAACCGTTTCAAGATCAATAATATTTGGATAAGAATTGTCTCTGCATGCTATATAAATAGATATAAAAACATAATGTCTTCTTTAAAGCTGGGGTACCTCATACTGTACATCGCATACATAAATGTTCATAATATTACATTTTCTTGTAAAAGTGAAATGTTTAAAACAAAATTAGACCGCAAAAGGCCGTCTTCATCTTATTAGAAACCATGCTCCCTTTTGCATATGTGTAAGAAAGAGTGGGTCACTATTTCAAGCCAATAAATGCATTTGTAAACCAGCCACAGAATCAAACCGTTTTAGAGCTCTGAAGTTGTTAAATGGATTGTATTAATAAAAGTTAGGTACCCCAGCTTTGTGTTTTTGGATGTATATTTCTTAATTGGCTGTGTGTTGATGTTGTGTGTAGAACAATTTACCAAGATGCAGAGTACTACCCCCCCAGACAACTTTACTAAACAGTGCTAGAGGCAAGATGAATTCTCAACAATAAATTAACCCGAAAATAATCACAATCATTAACAAGTGTGTGCTCTTTAAGACATACAAATGCACTAATATGCCATCTGCTAAAAAAAACTCAATGTCACATGTAAGCTTTCCCACTCTTCCTCATCAGTGTTAGTCTCTTGATAGTGTGTTGTTGTCAGCATGTGTGTTTAGTAGACGTGGAACAGTGTTGATTGTTTGTATCTCATTTGTTGATTTATATTTGTTCTTTCATCCATCTTATTGGGAGTCAGGTCTATGGAGAGGTAAGGCATCATGTCGTCCCAGACTGCAGCATGTGATTCACTTAAACTCTAGCTGGGCATTCAGTTTGTACACTTCATAGATAGACAATAAATAATTTTTGACATATTAACATAAAACCCTAAAGGGATAGTTTGATAAACATACTAATAATAACCAACTCTATACTAAAACATTGAAACAGCTGCCCTATTTTCTCAGCTTCTCTCACATTAAAGTTTAGTCTTGGTATAATGTTGAATGCAGTTAATTGTTGGTAAATATATATACTAACATTTTGTGCTAACCATGTGTGAATTAGTTTGTTTGTAGAAGCTACATTTTTGCCTGAAGAATTTCAAAAATAGCCCAATAATCACTGTATGTTTCTCATGAATTCCATTATGTCCTTCATTGACCTCTTGTTGGGATTCAGGTCCATGGAAAGGTAAGATCAAAGGGGATCTGAATAACCGCATGTAACTCTCTCACCCTCTTCAGTGGTTCTCAAACTCTGCTATTTACTTTCTCTGCTCTTTTTGTGTTGGTTCTGATGATTAAGCTCAGCACACAGCGGGAAGCTTTGCTGCCCCCTATATTTCAATGAGACAACACACACCGGCATGCGTACAATGTGCGGCAAATAAAAACACATCTTCTCTGACGAGCACAAACGCTGCTGTACAGTGTGACAGAGGCACCTTCTTTGCCTTTGTTATTCTCACAATCATATATATTTCACTTTGTGGATCAAATGAAATGAAACCCTCTGTCTAAAACACTGCAGCAGTTGTTTTACAGTCCTCAAATGGCCGTCCTGCGTGTCTTGTGTGTTGCCTTGTTTGATTGAAACCCATCAAATGCGGTGCCGCTGTGCACTGTGTTTAGGTGTGTGTTGAGCGTTAGCAGTGGCTTTGTCCAAATGAAGTGCAGGGCAGGTAACAATGTTCTTGTTTAAATGGGGCATCATGCAACTGTTATGTTCAATAAAAAGATGATACATTTGCATATTTGACCATGTAACCTAGCTGCTGTATGAGGGGTCAGCATGGTGCCTGTACCATCAGTGGTCTCTAGGATGCTTTAGGATCAATCGTTAGGTTTTCTGTGCAAAACAATTCTAGAGCACTGTAGACACAAACCTGATCGAAAGTTAAGGCACAATGCTACCCTCTCTTACAGCCACTGGGTTATAACAAGGTTAAATGTGCAAAAATATTTAACCTTGGAAAAGTGGCATAATGCCCCTTTAAACAATGAGAGCAAAGTGTAACTAGGGCTGTCAAAGTTATCGCGTAAACGTAACGAATCGCATTTAACGCATGTACGAATGACCTGCTCATGCATCCCATAATAACACTCAGAATGCTGCGGACACATGCGAGAGCAGGTAGGCCTTCTGGGATATCAAGTTTAAAAAGAATAGGCGCGTGACCACCATTCAACAAACCATTTACAGAAAAAATAATATAATTTTGCCGATAGTCAACAATGCAATTAATTAATTTTTAAGCTGTAATTAACTCGATTATAAAAAATAATCATTTGACAGCCCTATGTGTAACATAATGGAGAATAGAGGCATTGTAACACAATTAAATGACTCCAATTATTGGCATAATATTGTATTGTACTTTTTATGATTAGAGACTGTACATTTTGAATTGCAGCAATGTTATTTCAGTGTATAGAAATATAGTGTAGACTTTAGCTGCTTTTCCCAGGTTGTAGTTGGTTCAAACTGTTTGAGAATCACTGCTCTAACAGGCATGGTGCTGAAAATGCAAGAATAACAAACCTCTAAAGTACTCGACACATGCAGAGGACTGTGGGTCCTTTGAATGCAGGGCTTGTCAATGACATCACTGTTGCACCAAATGACTTTGCTGAAAAGGCTGAGACTGCGGACAGCTGTATTTCTGAATAACGCATGTCGACGATTCTGCAAATGGCAAGAGAGTGAATGGCACGTGCACATAAAGCAGAAGTCACTAACCAGGACAACCCAGCTGCTCCCAGGCTCCCCATATGAGCTTATCCACTACACTTACTGTTTGTCTGTCTCCATGGCGACGCTATTGTTTTGACTGGAATGTTTCACAGTATTCAATTAAACTGCATTTATTAATGAGGTAAGTTTTAAGGAACTGGCAACTTCGAACCCAGCTGCTTGCCCCTAGAGAGTTTGGATGTGTTTAATGAGCTATTGTGGAACATTGCAGGGTACTAAAAAAGAAAATCCTCAACCAATGCACTTAAATGTGACACTTCAGTACTGCCTCAAACATCTGCTCAGTAACAGGTTTGGGAATAATGTAATACCCCTGCTAAATAACAATCCAACTGAATGGAATATGTGATGTCACACTTAATTTGTCCATACAGTTAACCTAATATAAACATACAGAATATAACAGATACAACCCATTCATTATATGGAGAACAACGAGGAAAAGATAAATCCTATATCTCACGATTGTTCTAGGTTTTTCTTTATCCCTGTATGCACTCACATTAATATAAAAGTATTAATATTTGGATAGTTCAATTAAAACATGAACAACCAATACAATGCCCATAATAAAACAAAACAGACACAGAATAGGGTGGATGTAGCAGATCCACCAAAAGACTCATATGCAGACACAGGCCCAAAAATTCTGACAATATTGCAGCAAAATATGAATTACAAAAATCAGCAAACAGTGCGTGTCGTGGATAAGTTCACAACTTTTCGGAACTTTTCAACTCGAGTTAAATTTCCCGGGTCACACTTTCTGACATAACCATTCTACATTCCTCCATCCGCAGTGACACCGAAGACCACAAGCCGCTGAAGGGAAGCCGCACCCCCTCCAACGGGACAGTACGGCGGGACGAGAGCGACGACAGCCTGGTGGACTACGGCGAGGGCGGGGACGGGCAATTCAACGAGGATGGCTCTTTCATCGGCCAATACAGCGGCAAGAAGGAGAAGGACACGCACGAAGGCAACGAGAGCTCGGAGGCGCCCTCACCAGTCAACGCCATGAACTCCTTCGTCTAAGTGGGGCAAAGATGTCACTGCACACCCCCACTCGCTGTTGCCCAAATGGACCCACTGCGGTTTTAACAGGCGGGGTTACGGGGGGAAAAAACGCATCCACATATATAGTACGTCCGCCCCATCCCACTGTGCGCTCATCTTGAAAACCACATCAATAAAATGACACAAGAGGAACACCGAACGGGCTGGTCCAAGCGAGGATTATTACATTTAAACGAAGCAAGGTGATCTATGTAGTGTTTTGGGTGGGAACTATATTTCCCATGTCATGATTTTGCCTGGGATGATCGGTGGCAAGCACTCTGCACGGAAACGTAAAAATACTGGACACTGAAAAAGTTCCGGAATTGAATTAGAGGAAGATTTAGGTCATACTCACCATGTTTTCATAAGACAAGCAGGTAATGACTCCGCCACCAGAATCCTACATGGAGCACCTTTAATCCTATGACTAGTTCTGTTGACGTTCGAGAATTCGATGGTGTTAAAATTTCAGTTGGAAGGCAGATGTCTGTATTTGTAGTTTTTATCAAGAATTCATCAAATAACTTAAAGCAGCTTTCTTTTCAATTGGTTAAAATGTCAACAATCTGGAGTGGAAATGATTTCACAAGCATTTGCTCAATCGAAATGACAATTTCAAAGATGTATGGCTGAATCTCCAGCTCAAATTTTAACCATTGAAACCTTTATGACTGGGGTGATGCATTTTGCTCCAGAACACAATGGGAAAATATATGTGAGGAAACAGAACCATTTCTTAATACAGAAAGTGTTTACCACTTTCTGTAATAAGAAGTGGTTCTGTTTGCAGTCCAGGTCCTTATTTAGATACTTCATTTTCACAAGGACCGGATTTTCAACAGGCCATAACAACCACTTTTTACATTTCAAATTTATTTTGAATTGGTACCAAAAAACAATGATTAAAGTTAAGCAAATGAAAATAATTCACCCTCAGTGAAAGCAAGCCTAAATCAAGACTTAACATACTTTACTGCACTTCGGCAAGTGTGGTCTGGGCTGATTAACTTACATATTTATGTTAATGAATGCATACATCGAGTGAACCCTTAAATTGCATTGACTTCCAAACATCTGCATGGACCATGTCATTCTCAGTCGGAGAGGCGAGGTGCACGTTTAGGCTGAATGCACAGGACGTATGCCTTCGGTCGTTTTGTTGAAAAGTGTCCTATTGTTTCGAATGACAAAAGTAGCAGCTTGTCTGTGTGGAGCAAAGCTGCAGAATGCAAAACTATAAAGTATACTGTCTTTTTGAGACACGTAACCATTGTAAATATGTTATAGAGTAAAGATAAAGATATATAATTATTTAAGGTCTGGATTGTCCATTTGTAGCTAATGGAAACCTGGCAAATGATACACTTTTGATAATTTAACATAATGCACCAGCCAGAAACAGTTACACTCAACCACTTTCAGGTGCATTGTTTTATGCTTGCTAACTTTCTTTAAACTTGCAGAAATTACTAAAAACTAACAAAGCAAGAGTAGACATTTCTCTTAAGCGCTTCCACATGATTGTCAGCCACTTCTGCTTCAGGCAATGTGAAGTTGTCGCTGCTGCTAGACCTGCATCCCAAAAGTCACTTCACAGATATTAAGGAGTCTTTGGGGATTAGATAGAACCATGACTAAACTCTGCTCAAATTTCTATGAAACCAGGACACATGTAAACACAACAAGATGATTCTGGAGATAATGTTTCACTCCTCTTATCAGCCAGTTGTAGAAAATTACAAACTACAGAAGGTAATATTGAAAAAGTTTTCCCAATATTGAGTGAACCACATAACAAAAAATATTGGCTAATTCGACGCTGTTCCAAAGATCACAACCGATTATTACTTGCACAAATCCATAATGCTTTACGGGCCATCGATCTAATGCATACAATCTAAAACTGTCATATATGAGCCTGATATTAGACTCTATAATTATCCATCCATTCATAAAAAATAAAGCTTAATCCGATTTGTATCTTATTTTTTTCATTTTGAAAAGTGAAACAGGGAAAAAAGTTAACATATTCCTTGCGTTGTTTGTTTATATGGTGCTGTTTTTAAAACGGCCAGCAGGTGGCGAACATTTCTATTGTATTAGTGCATCAACAACCCTGTGGTGGTGGTTTTATATATATAATATATGAGGTTTCTAATTTACTGTAGTTTTCCTTCCATGCCTTTTCATCAGGACTTACACACACCTCACCAAACATCAGACAGTTTACGCTGTTTGTCAACCACCCGTCAACCAAAAAGCATTGTTGCGTTTGTGCAGGTAGCGAATAAAAAAATCCCTATTCAAATTATTTTCTCTGACATGAGTTTTGAATTAGCAGGTTTAGCTCCAAAGGCCTGGGACAGTGGCAACAATCACATTGAACATATGTACCAACTTTAGCATCTCCTTGACAACCAAATATGCAGACATAGGCTAGCTGTGTAGGCTCGTGAGACCAGGCAGCACTTAGAAGGCTTCATAAAGGTGAAAGGACGAGGTTCATGTCTCATTCTTCTCTCCTCACGCATTTTCACCCAACGAGGAGACGTAAAACTACTGCCAACCTACCAGGTAACTGCCAACAGGCTGCATATATAATGGTGCGAACAACGCTACGAGAGCTTCTTCTGACGGTAGCACTTTGAGACTAAGCGAAGGGTGTGGGATAATGAAACTGAATGTGGAAACAATTGTTTTTGATTTGTTTTTGTGAATGGAAATGTTGCTTGTTTCACTCCAAATGGTAAACTCACTAATGATGTATGCATCTAATCTGTCTGTGTATGTCAGGGGAAGTGAACCGCAGAACTCTGGTGACGTGGGTGGAGCTGGTGTGCGCGTGGGTAGATACATGCATGCTGGCGTATTATAGCGTGCGTAACGTGAAGCGCTTTGGTTTGATTTTGTGTGAGTGCGTCAGTCTCTAGGGTGGCTACCTCCTTGCGTCATCATCTCTCACAACAAGAAATGTCGCAAAATGTTTTAAAATCAATTTGTGTTTAAAAAAAGTGACATGCTAAAAATCATGTGTGAAGAACAATATTGTTTATGCAACACATATTAATATAACTCATTTCATAAAAGCTATATGGGAGGATTTTTTTCTTCCGGGCGGATCCTCTAAACTATTGGTTCTCCTAATTGTCAGTCTAAAATTTGGGAATCCACCCAGTTACTTTTTTTAATAAACCATTTTATACTTAATTTATTTATTTATCATACTTCTCAGAGTTTGAAAACAAAGCATACAGAACTAGATCAAGTTCATATTTGTCATTTACAACATACAGTCAATCACATGTAGAGTAGAAAACTTGAAAATGTAATTTCTTTGTCAGTAACACTTAACCCTCATGGCACCAAAGTAGCAGAATTACATGAGTTCCTGAATCCAGGACACTTTCTATACAGCGACCTGGCTTACCACAAATATTTCCCTATATTTTACTTTTATATTTTTTCAATTATTTATTTCTGTTATTGATTTTAGTTCTCTTTCCCATATACACTTTCAAGTTTGCTCTTGGGCTTTTGTATTCATAAAGTACTGTAACTAACATACATGCATGAAGCATTGTGATAGAACCACTGTTTTTATAGTGATGGACCAGCTGGATGACATTTATTACATAGTTCATTTTTGTGGTTGGAAAAATAGGTACCCCAGCTTTAAAGTTCACACCTCTGCTAATTCACGTATCAAAATGTGTTTTTACTGTGATACCACGCCCCCGTTACACATAACTATTCCCGCAGGTGAATGCTCTGACACGCATATGGATTTCACAATGTATTTCCAATAAGAATGTAGGTGACGTCACTTTCAAAATCAAATGATGCACTAAAACAGACGCAAGGAACTAAACAAATGTATAACGTTTGCCCTACCAAGTTTCACTACTTCACGAGGTGGTCACCCTACAGTCTCAAATGGAGCAGCGACTTTATTTTCAAGAGCCATTGTATGATTCCTTTACCATAACTTGCATCAAGTTTTTAGGTTTACGATGTGACTGCTTTCACCGTGTAGATATCCTTGTTGTACTTTGTAAATATCGGCTTGACCTGAGCGTGGTTGAGGTCCGAGTGCGAGGCCTCAGTCGACCCTGCTGCATTACATATAGCCAATATTTTTGACAAACCGGTCGTGTGCAAAGAGAAAAGTTGTAGTTTGGACATTATTTGCTGTGTTTTTTTTCTCTTTTATACTTTGAACATGTCGAATACTATTCCCAGCACATGTTTTGCCTGTAAGGTATCAAAAATATGGACTCACATGCAACAATTGCTTCTGCTGCACCTGTTATAAAGGTTACGACTGCACCAACCTGTATTTCTCAGTTCATCCTAATACAGACTTCTCCAAAAAAGACTGATGTGAAGTGAACTGGGAACACTGTACTGTAGTTGAATGCCCTCTCTATGAATAGTGGCTATATTAATATGGTATAATGATTTCTGCTCAATGTTGAAGTCACACAAGACGCATGAAAGGCTGTCATCATTGTTGTTTATTTGACAGTAAAATATTGCTAAACTATTTTGTATTTAATTTAAGTTCAAATGAAATAAATGTTGGTTTTAGGATTTTAAACACTGACTCGTTTGTGTGGATGTTTACGGAGGGGTGAACATGGAGGTGCACAATGGAGGGTTGAAACTTGAATACAATGGATTACATACGGGACTCGGCTTTCATAATGGTGAGTGCAAGAGGTTGCGAGTGACGGGCGCGTCAGTGCTGTCACTCATTAGCCCCGGCGATCCAAGATGGCGTCCTATTCATCCAAGATACTCGCCCATATTTGGGCATCGTCTGGTCCGCCCGGTTCTGCGCCGTGGACCATGATACGTTGTTATTATTATAGATCCATGGTTGCGCCAAACAAGTGTGTGTGCCACTAAAGTATGGATTTAAAGAAAATCGAAGGATTGAAGAAAAAAAGTTTAGGATGACAAGGGGCACTAAAATCCCCACAAAATCCGACCTTTGTGAAAGCTGTAGGTTCTCTGTCAGCTGAGGTCGAGCTATTTTAGTTTACATTGAGTTCTAAGGGGAAAATTTCAGGGTAGCCAGTGTGAATTAAGTCTGCAGTATCGCGAGAAGCCCCCGTGCACATGGGTCCTTCAGCTCCAAGGTAGTAATATCCTATCCAGATATCATAATAATAATAAACTCAAATGCTTTATAATGATGTATCAAGTGCCATTGAAACCTATATTGTTTTTGCTCGGGGAAGGAATTACAGGAAAAAATCCTTATTATTAACTTTTTCTAATGCGTTTTGAGCCTCACTTTAACCCCCCTGAACATTCTTTTGACGCAATAGCGCCATCATTGAAATGTTTTTGCATTTAGTTTGTCCTAGAGCTACAATATTTGGTACACATATTTGTCACCTACAGAGTTTTACATGGGGAGCCAAAAACCTAGTCCTTATAGAGACAAACCAACTCACTATTTCCACTACAATTTTACAATAATTGTTCTATGGCTACTAGAGCAAATAATGTCGTGTCAGAGCCACCTCCTTTGCGTGGTGCGGCAAAGGGCCGTTTGACGCCGCTTGCGGGTTTAATTTTTATCAACAATAAGGTTGATAAAAAATTGTTTGTTAAGTTATGAAAATAAAATCAGTTAAATCAGAACTCATCTTGGAGGACATCACAGAATTGTCGATTTGCCAACAGATTAAACAATTAGAACACATAAAAAATACAAACATCCAACCATGGATGTATTGTATTGTTGAAATAAACACAAACGAGTAATTGGTCCATTGGATACCAGGTTAACCAGTCAAAAGAAAGTGCCATTTATCTATTCAGCTGACTATTTTCAAGCATGTGTATATTGCGCCCTCTAGTGTACGTTTAAAGGAAAGCTTTTAGTTTCTTTCTTTATCTGGCAAAGGAAAGACAGATTTCTGGTTAAATCTATGTTAATCTCTGAAGGATTAATGTATTGGCTAGCGCATGCGCAGTGAGTATATTGTTCGATGTGTGTTTGCATTGTTTTAATCTACACTGTTTTTAAATTATTTTCATTGGGCTACTGTTCGCTTAAAAAAAAAAATAGATTTCGAAAACGTAAGTGTATTGAAATTGCCAACCACTTTAGATAGAGGTATAGATAGATAGATACATCCCAAAGGAAATGATAAATGATAAAATAATAATAAATAAATAAAAATCTCACAAAGTACTTTATGTCAAAATCTGAAAGTATCAGCCCCCACATATATGTGTGTATATACCATAGACTGTGTATATACAGATGAGTTTTGCTCCCACCCCCCATGACTTCAGCCATGGATCAGCCCGTGCCAGATGAGCGCCCACCCCTCCCGGAGGTGTGTATCCTCCAATAGGAAAGTTTCACCCGGGATGCTGCTGCTGGTGGGACGCTGTGGTTCGGTCCAAAAGAGCCATGAGGACTGAGGACTGATTTCACCATCTACAGAACTATAGGTAAGGTGATTTGTGCGGCCGCGTCTCATAGCCTGGTGTTTTACCGGATAGTGACGCTTCCAGCAGACGGACGGGATCGTTGGATGTGGACCGGTCTGAAGTACCGCATTGCAGAGCGCACGGGACACGGCAGCAGAGGCCAAGTGCGCACACGCGTGTTCTGACCGGGGCAAGACTGCAGCAATGTCATGCGTGGTTACTATGAGCACGAACAAGTTTTGAGGATGCAACTCAACCAAAGCCTGAGGATGCGGAGGATGCGAGGGTTGTCAAGGGCGAAACTGAATATGGGTGACTTTAGAGAAGGACTCCATTATAGAAGGGCTACTCCCAAATAATCACGAGTCAAAACACTGAAGCATTATCTACACAGTTTACAGGCCTAAGCATAGGACAGGATGGATAAACCGTCTTTAAGAAACATTGCAATCAGTTTTGGGGTGAATACTTTGACAATATTTGACTACATAGAGATACAGAATATAGAATACTGTACTTGTTTTAAGAGGTATTCTGTCAAATATTCTGTAACTACATAGAGTTACTGAATATGGAATTTTATACTTGTAAAGTATTCTGTTACATGGTCCAGTCAGAATACTGCATTTTGAATATTTATCGGGATAATACTAAAGGAATACAAGATATAATACAACCAATTTCCTTCCAAAATTGCATGATCAAATGTCGCAATGTATTTATTTTGTTCTTCTTTTAAGTAACTGTATTCTGAATATCTATTCCAATTGTTCCCAGGTAAACAGTCCCAGCAATAATATTTACCTTGTTTGTTGAATATGTAGTCCTGCAGCCATATACTAGACCTTTTAATGCAAGTTTTTATGTTGATAATCAGTTAATAGTGCTGTATATTGCTATCACTTATCACTTATCAATGGCAGATTTATTTGTATAGCACCATTTATACACAAAGCAACTCAAAATGCTTTACAAAACCAGACAGGGAGCATTAAAAAATCATACATGTATGAATAAATCATCAATAATCACAGTATATGAAAAATAGTGTGGTTGCAATCCTTCAGTTGTATACACAGCTAAACAATTTTTTTTTTTTTTTTAACCTGGGTTTGAACATTAAACATGGGATGAATTAATATTAACACTAATAATGCGATATTGCTGGGGCACACTGACACTGGGGTGGTTGGTGTTCAAGGGTCAAGTGGTAAGAAAGGTCTGAGGCTAGTGTATTTTCTCAGACTAAATGTGTGTAATGTAGTAATACACTTTGCAACTAATATCCAACTTCGCACTAAGAAACAAACAGAAAACTATAGTTGACTCTACAGGACAGTGATTCTCTATACTAGTCTATGAAGAAGATGTGCATGTAGTAAATGACCAACGTGGAGCTAACCCATGTGCTGCTGACCCACTTCTATGCAGGCTGTCTAAAGAGGATCTGGGCAGGATTAACAGCAGCAAAAACACATGAAAACACACACTGTATATCACCAAGTTTAATTCACACATGCGCTGATGGTTTTTCCTTCAGTAATGGCCAGTGAGATACCAGCTCCCAGTGTTGCTGCTGTGTGTCCTTGTGCAATCCGCCATAACCCCCAGTGTTTGTGTATGCTGGTGTATGAATGTGTGATCGATTCTATGATGTGACTTTAGAAAAACACTATATAATTGTGATTATTTAAGCAGGGAGAAGGCTCTGTCTATCTGAATGTCTGCAGTAGTCCTTTTAGTGTCTGCAATGTGGGCTGTCTGCTGAGTCATTCTCATCTTAAATCATTTATAGTCATATTTCTCAGGGACAGCAGTCTCTGTAGCCTGGCCTTAACCATCTGTACACTCTGCTCAATCATCATTTCACTGCATGTAACGTCTGGGTCTGGTCCCCATGTTAGCGATTACAATCAGTTGAATTTCAACCGACCATTCAGAGAGCGCGGAAGGCAGGTGTTGTAGTTAGTTGTGGGTGATGTCAAGAGTTTGCGTCGAACGGGAAGGTTGTAGTTTGGCAATGGCGAAAAATGCGATAGTAAAGTAATCCGGTCTGGTTCTATCAAGAAATTCAAGCCGGAGCAATAGGAATGTTTAGCAAATGTAATCGCTAGAAAAAAATGTGGCGCTACTCCCCACGGGCTCCTTTAGCGGCAAAGGAGATGGCTAGGCTGGGCCCGAGTCTGTTGTCTGTTAACGACAGACTCGGGCGCATTACATACGTCACGGTAAACTCAGATCCAATCGTTTCAATCTGCTAAAAGGAGTTAACCCCTCCTATCTGTTCACGGAGCTCAATGGAGCACCTCCAGACCTTAGTACGAAATGTCATTTGTACTATGGTGTGGTACGACCAGGCTACAGTCTCTGGTGTGTTGGAGGAGATTTGCGAATGTCTACATTACATAGTGAAATGCCGTTTAACTGTGGTGCTGTAAATAGTAAATAGTAAGTTAAAAAAGAAAAACAAGACAGACAGAGAGAACAATACAGTAACAATGTAACAAAGAATTAAAACGGTGTCTGAGTGGTTATCTCAGCCAGAAGGTCCTGACTGGATTTGCATGTTCTCCCTGTGTCTGTGTAGGTTTCCTCTGGGTGCTCCGGTTTCCCCTACCACTAAAATCATTCACAGTAGGTTAATCCTCCAGCTCCACTAGTCCTGATCAAGCCGGCAATCAATATCTGGAGATATGGCAACCACTGCTATTGACAGAGGACAAAGTTCCCTACGGGGAAAAATAAAGTGCACGTTTACATTTATTCACATTTATATTTACATAAACCATCACCTGTCTGTTTGAGGGCCTGCATTCAGGAGGTTTACAGATATGGGGAGGAATGAGTGTAATGTCTTAAGATACACAACTAAGTAAAAGTACTTATTGCAACCTCTAATGTTGAGACAGGCTCACTCTCTTGATACTTTCTCTTTCAGACAACTGCAGTCCACTATTAGTTTGTCCTTCAGACCTAACTCTGTCCCAGTGCTCACAACATGACGGCCATTGTCTTCCTTGTACTGGTCATCACCTCTTCCTTATCATTCACAGGTAACAATCTCTACATCAGTATCTGGAGATAAGCAAAATGGTTACAGTTTAAAAAGCCTTTCTTTCAAAATAACGCAGCCTAGGCATTATTCACATTCTCCTAACCTAATAGAACTAATAAGTTGTTTTTTCTCTTGTGTTCCTACATCTAAATCAGTGGGAGTTCTGTTCTTTGAGCCGAGGATATTTGGAGGTGGGTGATTCAACATGCTTGTGTGTGAAATGTATTATAATGCTTATGATGTATGGACTGATGTATGGACTGATGTCTGGACTGATGTCTGGACTGATGTCTGGACTGATGTCTGGACTGATGTATGGACTGATGTATGGACTGATGTATGGACTGATGTCTGGACTGATGTATGGATTGATGTATGGACTGATGTCTGGACTGATGTCTGGACTGATGTCTGGACTGATGTCTGGACTGATGTCTGGACTGATGCATGGACTGATGTCTGGACTGATGTCTGGACTGATGTATGGACTGATGTCTGGACTGATGTATGGACTGATGTCTGGACTGATGTCTGGACTGATGTCTGGACTGATGTCTGGACTGATGTCTGGACTGATGCATGGACTGATGTCTGGACTGATGTATGGACTGATGTCTGGACTGATGTCTGGACTGATGTATGGACTGATGTCTGGACTGATGTCTGGACTGATGTATGGACTGATGTATGGACTGATGTATGGACTGATGTGTGGACTGATGTCTGGACTGATGTGTGGACTGATGTCTGGACTGATGTATGGACTGATGTATGGACTGATGTATGGACTGATGTCTGGATTGATGTATGGACTGATGTCTGGACTGATGTATGGACTGATGTCTGGACTGATGTATGGACTGATGTCTGGACTGATGTCTGGACTGATGTCTGGACTGATGCATGGACTGATGTATGGACTGATGTCTGGACTGATGTATGGACTGATGTCTGGACTGATGTTGTGAGTGGACTGATGTCTGGACTGATGTATGGACTGATGTATGGACTGATGTCTGGACTGATGTCTGGACTGATGTCTGGACTGATGTCTGGACTGATGTCTGGACTGATGTCTGGACTGATGCATGGACTGATGTCTGGACTGATGTATGGACTGATGTCTGGACTGATGTATGGACTGATGTCTGGAATGATGTCTGGACTGATGTATGGACTGATGTATGGACTGATGTATGGACTGATGTATGGACTGATGTCTGGACTGATGTATGGACTGATGTATGGACTGATGTCTGGACTGATGTCTGGACTGATGTCTGGACTGATGTATGGACTGATGTATGGACTGATGTATGGACTGATGTCTGGACTGATGTATGGACTGATGTATGGACTGATGTATGGACTGATGTTGGACTGATGTATGGACTGATGTATGGACTGATGTTGGACTGATGTACTGGACTGATGTATGGACTGATGTATGGACTGATGTATGGACTGATGTATGGACTGATGACTGATGTATGGCTGATGTTGGACTGATGTGACTGATGTGCTGAGGACTGATCTGTGACTGATGTCTGGACTGATGTTGGACTGACTGATGTGGACTGATGTTGGACTGATGTATGGACTGATGATGGACTGATGTCTGGACTGATGTATGGACTGATGTATGGACTGATGTATGGACTGATGTATGGACTGATGTATGGACTGATGTATGGACTGATGTCTGGACTGATGTATGGACTGATGTCTGGACTGATGTATGGACTGATGTATGGACTGATGTATGGACTGATGTCTGGACTGATGTATGGACTGATGTATGGACTGATGTATGGACTGATGTATGGACTGATGTCTGGATTGATGTATGGACTGATGTATGGACTGATGTATGGACTGATGTCTGGACTGATGTATGGACTGATGTATGGACTGATGTATGGACTGATGTATGGACTGATGTCTGGATTGATGTATGGACTGATGTCTGGACTGATGTATGGACTGATGTCTGGACTGATGTATGGACTGATGTATGGACTGATGTATGGACTGATGTCTGGACTGTATGGACTGATGTCTGGACTGATGTATGGACTGATGTCTGGACTGATGTATGGACTGATGTATGGACTGATGTATGGACTGATGTATGGACTGATGTATGGACTGATGTATGGACTGATGTATGGACTGATGTCTGGACTGATGTCTGGACTGATGTATGGACTGATGTCTGGATTGATGTATGGACTGATGTCTGGACTGATGTCTGGACTGATGTGTGGACTGATGTATGGACTGATGTATGGACTGATGTCTGGACTGATGTATGGACTGATGTATGGACTGATGTCTGGACTGATGTATGGACTGATGTATGGACTGATGTATGGACTGATGTATGGACTGATGTATGGACTGATGTGTGGACTGATGTCTGGACTGATGTGTGGACTGATGTCTGGACTGATGTATAGACTGATGTATGGACTGATGTATGGACTGATGTATGGACTGATGTCTGGATTGATGTATGGACTGATGTCTGGACTGATGTATGGACTGATGTCTGGACTGATGTGTGGACTGATGTATGGACTGATGTATGGACTGATGTCTGGATTGATGTATGGACTGATGTCTGGACTGATGTATGGACTGATGTCTGGACTGATGTGTGGACTGATGTATGGACTGATGTATGGACTGATGTATGGACTGATGTATGGACTGATGTCTGGACTGATGTATGGACTGATGTCTGGACTGATGTATGGACTGATGTATGGACTGATGTATGGACTGATGTCTGGACTGATGTGTGGACTGATGTCTGGATTGATGTATGGACTGATGTCTGGACTGATGTATGGACTGATGTCTGGACTGATGTATGGATTGATGTATGGACTGATGTCTGGACTGATGTATGGACTGATGTCTGGACTGATGTGTGGACTGATGTCTGGACTGATGTATGGACTGATGTATGGACTGATGTATGGACTGATGTATGGACTGATGTATGGACTGATGTCTGGACTGATGTATGGACTGATGATCAGACGATGCCACTGGATACGGGCCCATCTTTGAGGAGGAGCCCGTGGATGTGGTCTACACGGAGGACTCTCCTGACGACCGGATCTCCATGAACTGCAGAGCCAGGGCCAACCCCCCTCCTTCATACAGGTTCATAATAATGATTCATTCTAATATTGTGTTCGCTCTCAGTCGTACAGTGATTATTCAGAACAAAGGAAGGTGGCTCACCATCATCTGTACTTTAGTTAGCAGGTTTTCCAACGTTTCATTCTCCATCTGAAGAATATTCTCAAGGAAATGAAAAAAAATGTATTTCCATGAGAAAGTTAATCGGATGGAGAACGAAACGCCGGAAAAGCTGCTAACTGAAGTACGGATGATGGGTGAGTATTTCATGGTAATGACACAGCTCTACACTGTACACTCTGAATTAGTTCAGTTAACTCAAAAAGGTTCTTATTGATTACACAAACAAACTTTTGAGTTAATCTTTTGACATTTTTGATATACTCTAATATTAAAGTTTTGAGTCGTAAATATGTTAATATTTATAATTATTTAAAGCATTTTTTGTCCCTTTCCACTAGATTTTCATTGAGCTAAATTACATTCCTACAAATTATAAATCTTATAATTCTAGCCATTTTATGAGTAAAAGGACTTCACCAAGGAACCAAAACCAGGACATTTAATTGAAAGGCTTTGCCCTTTAAAACCCTGTGAGTATTTAAACGTTAACATAAGATGTTTATATTAAATATTACTACAACAATAAAACTAAATTCCATTTAATTTATTTTTGTATAGCCCTAAATCCCAACAGTTGTTATCTTTGAGGACTTTAAAAAACGTTGAATTTGCAGACACAGTTCAGAGAATCAAACACAAGAAATGCAACGATAAAAACAGATAAAAACACATAGACCTAAACACCTTCACCTTATGAACCATTGGTCCATAATGATCAGGTGACCATGTCCAATGTCCTTAAATGTTGTTGAATGTTGAGAGTCCTGGATCATCACCACTGTCCTTAGACCCTCCTGCATCGGCAAAGATAAACTCTAAAACACTGCTTTAAAATATATAATACATTAGCGGAATGGAAGTTGGCCGGATGACTGTGTGTGTTTATGAATGGAGCTTTTATAGATGTGTGGAATGTTTATTTATGTTGCGTTACAGGGACAGCGCTAATGACAATTTCATATGTAAATACTCCAAAAATAGCCAATGTAATACGTGTGGTTTCATCTTTCCATGATTACAAACAGTGAAATGTTAATTTGTGGCTGTTGTCAGATGGCGCCGTGATAACTGGGAGATCAAACTGATGGAGCAGCCTGATGAGCACTACAGTCTGGTGGGGGGAAACCTGGTCATCAACAACCCCCGACAGAAGAAGCACGCTGGGACCTACATCTGTGTGGCCAAGAACATCTACGGGACGGTCATCAGCAAAGAGGCCCGCGTCAAGTTTGGATGTGAGGACACCACTCTCTAAATAACATATAGCTGTTGTTCGAACCTTTAGGCGACTGCTGTGTTTAAAGCTGGGGTACCTCATTTTCAAACTATACCAAGAATTAACTATGTGATTAAATAAATGTAACTAGTTCTTCAACCGCTGTCACATCACATAAGTGGAAAAGAGAGGACCACCCTCTCTCTCAGCCAATCAGCTCTCAGCCCAAAGCGTCAGTCATAGGGCTTTGTCTTATAAACTTATGCATAAGATTTGTAAAAAAATCACGTGCATTATGCATGTGAGAATTTTTCCTTTGCATTATGCAATGGAAAAATGTATGTTGTTTCTTTTCAACTAATCTTGACATTTTAATGGAAGGCCAGTGAAGACCAGAGCTGATGCTCTGCTCCAGCATCATGCATTCATCACAATGGATCCAGAGCAGAAAGAGCCTCAGAGATTCACACAAAGATTGTATAGCAGGAGAGGGACAGCTGATTGCAGGAAATCATTTGAAATACAACTAAAACAATGTGTAGCAGGGTTGAACTGGTGCTGTTATTTGTGTGTGGACTTTGAGGCGATCTTTTATCTGGTCACAATAATTAAACAGTTAGAATATACCAGTCCCAGCCCAAACTAAAGAGAAAAAGACAGCGGCAAGTCAACATTTGGGCTTGACTCAAGTACTTCAACATAAAGGTACAATGAACGTAATAAATATGAACTTATAGGACAAAACTAAAATAGACATTTGGAGACACAAAAACGCAAAATGACGGTAACAACACAAAAGCGGTAAAAACCTGAATTTAACATGAGTGTAACTACACTGTTAAGTTTTGAGAAAGATTGCTGAAATGGATACAAACATTATCTAATGAATGTATCAAAAAAATGGGGCGACAGTGGCTCAGTTGGTAGGCCATTGGGCATGAAGGTTGTGGGTTCGAGCCCACCACAAGACCTACTTCACGAATCCCACTGATTACTGCTGTCGTAAGACACTTAACCCCACTTTGCCTGAAGCCCCCGCTGAAAGATCAAGGCTCTGGTGGACTCACCACCTGCAGGAGGATCAGTGAGGGGCTGGTGTTAAGTGTGCTGGGTGCAGCTCTGACTGCCACCTCCCCAACCCAGAAATGGATTAAGGGGAAGAAAATCGATGGATGTATAAAAAAAGATATACATTTTCATATAAATAATAAAGTCTGCTTGTTTACTCCTCTTCTTCAGACCTAGAAGAGTTTCCTCAGGAGGAGAGAGATCCGGTTCATGTGAAAGAAGGACAAGGTGCTGTTCTGCTTTGTGTTCCTCCAAAAGCCTATCCACGTAAGTCTGCAGAGAAGCTGTCAGGGTTACTGTGTATTGTTCATTAAAAACAAACCAACATTGTGCATTGGCTTGCAGAGGAGGTCACATACCGCTGGATTTACAACGAGTTCCCAGTCTTCCTGCCCACTGACCGTCGGAGGTTTGTGTCCCAGAAAACGGGAAACCTTTACATCGCCAAAGTGGAGGCTCAGGACGCGGGGAACTACTCGTGCTTCGTCTCCAGCCCCACCATCGGCAAGAGCGTCTTCTCCAAGTTCATCCCACTCATCCCTCTCCCGCCTGAGGAAGGTGAGTATGTATATAACACGTATACAATATTTGGAATACCAGCAGTTATCAAAGACTCCAGCTTCTATTTTTTGTTGGACAGGCATGTTTTCCATTTCCCAGTGTGTCTTCGTCTATAATTTATCCAATTTAAAGCTGGGGTCCCTAACTCCCCTTCAAATCTTACAGACATTCAGAAAGAGTCTACATTTAGTGAACATATACAGTTCGGCCCCCTTGAACCTTTCAACATTTCGCCACAGTTCAGGCTTCAAACATAAAGATATAACATTTTAATTTTTTGTCATGAATCAACAACAAGTGGGACACAATCGTGAAGTGGAACGAAATTTATTGGATAATTCAAACTTTTTTAACAAATAAAAACCTGAAAAGTGGGACGTGCAATATTATTCGGCCCCTTTACTTTCAGTGAAGCAAACTCCCAGAAGTTCAGTGAGGATCTTTGAATGATCCAATGTTGTCCTAAATGACTGATGATGATAAATAGAATGCACCTGTGTGTAATCAAGTCTCCGTATAAATGCACCTGCTCTTTGATAGTCTCAGGGTTCTGTTTAAAGCGCAGAGAGAACCATGAAGACAAAGGAACACACCAGGCAGGTCCGAGATACTGTTGTGGAGAAGTTTAAAGCCGGATTTGGATACAAAAAGATTTCCCAAGCTTTAAACATCTCAAGGAGCACTGTGCAAGCAATTATATTGAAATGGAAGGAGTATCAGACCACTGCAAATCTACCAAGACCCGGCCGTCCCTCCAAACTTTCATCTCAAACAAGGAGAAGACTGATCAGAGATGCAGCCAAGAGGCCCATGATCACTCTGGATGAACTGCAGATAACTACAGCTGAGGTGGGAGAGTCTGTCCATAGGACAACAATCAGTCGTGCACTGCTCAAATCTGGCCTTTATGGAAGAGTGGCCATTTCTCAAAGATATCCAAAAAAAGTCTTGTTTAAATTTTGCCACAAGCCACCTGGGAGACACGCCAAACATGTGGAAGAAGGTGCTCTGGTCAGATGAAACCAAAATCGAACTTTTTGGCCACAATGCAAAACGATATGTTTGGCGTAAAAGCAACACAGCTCATCACCCTGAACACACCATCCCCACTGTCAAACATGGTGGTGGCAGCATCATGGTTTGGGCCTGCTTTTCTTCAGCAGGGACAGGGAAGATGGCTAAAATTGATGGGAAGATGGATGGAGCCAAATACAGGACCATTCTGGAAGAAAACCTGTTGGAGTCTGCAACAGACCTGAGACTGGGACGGAGATTTATCTTCCAACAGGACAATGATCCAAAACATAAAGCCAAATCAACAATGGAATGGTTCACAAATAGACGTATCCAGGTGTTAGAATGGCCAAGTCAAAGTCCAGACCTGAATGCAATCGAGAATCTGTGGACAGAGCTGAAGACTGCTCACAAAACGCTCTCCATCCAACCTCACTGAGCTCGAGCTGTTTTGCAAGGAAGAATGGGAAAGAATTCCGGTCTCTCGATGTGCAAAACTGATAGAGACATACCCCAAGCGACTTGCAGCTGTAATTGCAGCAAAAGGTGGCGCTACAAAGTATTAGCGCAAGGGGGCCGAATAATATTGCATGCCCCACTTTTCAGTTTTTTATTTGTTAAAAAAGTTTAAATTATCCAATAAATTTCGTTCCACTTCACGATTGTGTCCCACTTGTTGTTGATTCTTGACATTATATCTTTATGTTTAAAGCCTGAAATGTGGCGAAATGTTGAAAGGTTCTAGGGGGGCGAATGCTTTCGCAAGGCACTGTACGTCCACAGCGGGCTGTTTTTTTTTTTTAATTATTGGTAAAACATTTTGCATAAACCTGTGAGTCATAATTTTACCCTTTGGAGGATTGAGGGGGGTTCTCTCTTTTTCCACTCTTTTCTCTAAAAAATATTATCTAAATATGTGACAGAGGCTGTAGTAATAATAATACATTTTATTTAAAAGCACCTTTCTAAACACCCAAGGACACTGTACAGGACATAACCATTGGTCAGTCTTTTTCTTGATGTTTCTGACAAATTTTCAAAGCTTAACCATCTTTCAATCAGTTTAAAACATTAAGTGTTCCCATGCAGTTTTTTTATATTATTACAAAAATGGACGCTCTAGCACACATTTTGAATTTTGGGAACTTTAAAAACTAACCTCTGTTTATAGCTAAACTTTAAATCTTTTATGAAAAGAGGCTTGTTGAAATATTGTATTTTACCTACTGAGAGCTATAAGTCTCATCTTTCATATCGTGTGGCCATAGCTACATGTACAACAAAAATCTTTACCTATGATATAGATTGCCCCACACACAATTCATTCCAAATTCATCCAAGATACTAAAGTCTAGAATGGTCTGAATTCAAGTCATTTTACACCCAATGAAATATTCCTTACATGCAACCACATATGTCACATTTGGGGTTTTCTCCTACAGGTGAAGAACGAAAGTACCCAGCAGACATCCGGGTGAAGTTTCCAGACACCACTGCCATGCTGGCCACAAACATCACTCTGGAATGCTTTGCTCTGGGAAAGTAAGTGGTTTCAGCAACGAAAACATTTATGGCACGATAAAGTGTAGGTCAGTGCCTTTTCAAATAGTGAAGATGGAGAGACTTTTCTTCGAATGCAAGCTTCAGTCAGACTCGCCCTGACAGGTTGCTGATTGTCCCTTGCCGATGAAGGAGGGTCTAAGGACAGTGGTGATGATCCGGGAAATGTATTAACATTTTTGGACATTGGTCTTCTGCCCCTTATTCACCAATGGCTGCTATGTGTGTGTTATTATTATTCCTGTGTCCTCCAAAACAACTGCTGCTGTGATTTAAGGATATACAAGAATAAATTGAATTGAATTATGAACAATACTTCAGGATGATAGTACAGGATCATATGGTCAGAATATGTACATACAATTGAAGTTGAAGACATCACCTTTAATTCCTCTTTTAATGTGTGTGTAGCCCTATTCCTCATATCGTGTGGAGGAAAGTGGATGCTACCGACCTGCCCGCCAACCATGAGATCAGCGAGTCTGGGGCCGTGCTTCACCTGTTCAACGTCCAGTATGAGGACGTGGGGGCCTACGACTGCGAAGCTATCAACACCAAAGGGAAGGACTACCACAAGGCCTGGCTCTCCGTCGAGTGTGAGTTATACATATTGAATACTATTAATAATATTAGTATCTACTCAAATAAACAAAAATAATACTTTTTTTTATTTAAATGTTTAAATTTTTTTACAATTACTGAAGAATAGAATAGAATATCATCTTTCAATAAATAAATAAATGTGTTAAAGTTTGTATTGAGCAGGTAAAGATAAATTGATTTCTAAAATATTTATTAGTTGGGGAGGCTGCTTTTCAGATTCATGCTGCTAAAATCTGGAACAGTCTTCCTGAAAGTGTGAGACAGGCCTCGTCTCTGACAATGTTTAAAACCAGATTAAAGGCAGTTCTGTTTAGTCTTTCTTTTTAATGTTCTGTGATTATTTATGTTTTTAATGCTTTCTTATTTTGTTCAGCACTTTGAATTGCCTTGAATATGAATTGTGCTATATAAATAAACTTGCCTTGCCTTAGTTTTTGAAAAAACTATTAGTTTTCACAGCCCTATTATTATTGTAATGAATGAATACAATGTATCTTTCTCAAGTAAAGATATATCTTTACCAAATGACTGAGATTATATGGGGTGAATGAAGAATGACTTGTAAAGTGTCTTTGAGTGTCCAAAAAACATGCTATATATTAGCAATGCATCATTATTATACATTTTTCAACAACATTTAGACATTTCAAGTATACAGTATATGAATTTGACTGGATGTTTATAATATTTGAGAAGATCTTCTGACTGATGCTGTCCTTTTTTTAAACAGTTAGAAAAAAAAACAATATATAATTCTGTTAATCAATCTGCCAATAAATCAGACCCAGATTTACACATTGTCGTTTTGTAGCCATTTCAAATCTGAAACTTTCCTTGGTTTGCAGTGAGTAATTCTCTGGCACAGAAAACAATTAAAGCTATATTATTGTTCTGCTTCTTTAGCTGCTCCTGAATGGGCCGAGACCATCAACAACACTCAGAAAGACATAGGATCAGAGCACACCATGCGCTGTGTGGCAGCTGGGAAGCCCTACCCTTTCATTCGCTGGTACAAGGACGGATACATGGTACGAGGCTGGGTGTTTTCACTGCATTTTCATATGAACTGCTGTATGTATGATTTTTCTATGTGTTGCCTACAGTATGGAAAAGGAGAGCTGAAGTTTTCTAGCCTGACCTTTGATGACTCTGGGATGTACCAGTGCATCGCTGAAAACTACTGGGGAATTAAATATGCCAATGCAGAGCTGAGGGTGATCGGTAAGTGCCAACTCTCTTCATCTCACAACCTGCTCTTTTTTTCCCAGCCTATAACTCCCAGAGCCGTCATTTTGACTTCTCTCATTCAAAACAACGGAATTCTGATATATAATAGCCCAAGAATGTCTAATTTTTCACCAGATTCAATAAATGTAACTCATTTATAAGGGTTTAACCTTTACTCACTTGTACTAAGTAAAACCTGTTAATATACAGTGCCTTGCGAAAGTATTCGGCCCCCTTGAACCTTTCAACATGTCGCCACATTTCAGGCTTCAAACACAAAGATATAAAAATAATTTTTTTTGTCAAGAATCAACAACAAGTGGGACACAATCGTGAAGTGGAACAAAATGTATTGGATGATTTAAACTTTTTTAACAAATAAAAAACTGAAAAGTGGGGCGTGCAATATTATTCGGCCCCCTTGCGCTAATACTTTGTAGCACCACCTTTTGCTGCAATTACAGCTGCAAGTCGCTTGGGGTATGTCTCTAACAGTTTTGCACATCGAGAGACTGGAATTCTTGCCCATTCTTCCTTGCAAAACAGTTCGAGCTCAGTGAGGTTGGATGGAGAGCGTTTGTGAACAGCAGTCTTCAGCTCTTTCCACAGATTCTCAATTGGATTCAGGTCTGGACTTTGACTTGGCCATTCTAACACCTGGATACGTCTATTTGTGAACCATTCCATTGTAGATTTGGCTTTATGTTTTGGATCATTGTCCTGTTGGAAGATAAATCTCCGTCCCAGTCTCAGGTCTTTTGCAAACTCCAACAGGTTTTCTTCCAGAATGGTCCTGTATTTGGCTCCATCCATCTTCCCATCAATTTTAGCCATCTTCCCTGTCCCTGCTGAAGAAAAGCAGGCCCAAACCATGATGCTGCCACCACCATGTTTGACAGTGGGGATGGTGTGTTCAGGGTGATGAGCTGTGTTGCTTTTATGCCAAACATATCGTTTTACATTGTGGCCAAAAAGTTTGATTTTGGTTTCATCTGACCAGAGCACCTTCTTCCACATGTTTGGTGTGTCTCCCAGGTGGCTTGTGGCAAACTTTAAACAAGACTTTTTATGGATATCTTTGAGAAATGGCTTTCTTCTTGCCACTCTTCCATAAAAGCCAGATTTGTGCACGACTGATTGTTGTCCTATGGACAGACTCTCCCACCTCAGCTGTAGTTATCTGCAGTTCATCCAGAGTGATCATGGGCCTCTTGGCTGCATCTCTGATCAGTCTTCTCCTTGTTTGAGATGAAAGTTTGGAGGGACGGCCGGGTCTTGGTAGATTTGCAGTGGTCTGATACTCCTTCCATTTCAATATAATTGCTTGCACAGTGCTCCTTGAGATGTTTAAAGCTTGGGAAATCTTTTTGTATCCAAATCCGGCTTTAAACTTCTCCACAACAGTATCTCGGACCTGCCTGGTGTGTTCCTTTGTCTTCATGGTTCTCTCTGCGCTTTAAACAGAACCCTGAGACTATCAAAGAGCAGGTGCATTTATACGGAGACTTGATTACACACAGGTGCATTCTATTTATCATCATCAGTCATTTAGGACAACATTGGATCATTCAAAGATCCTCACTGAACTTCTGGAGTGAGTTTGCTGCACTGAAAGTAAGAGGCCGAATAATATTGCACGCCCCACTTTTCAGTTTTTTATTTGTTAAAAAAGTTTAAATTATCCAATAAATTTCGTTCCACTTCACGATTGTGTCCCACTTGTTGTTGATTCATGACAAAAAATCAAAATTTTATATCTTTATGTTTGAAGCCTGAATTGGGGCGAAATGTTGAAAGGTTCAAGGGGGGCGAATACTTTCACTGTAACTCAAATACAATGATAACTACTGACCTTAAACAATGTGTTGCTATGGAAACCAGCACCCGCTCTTCTCTGGTGGAAAACTAAACTCAACCAGAACTAGTCCAGAACATGTTTCCAATGATTTCCTTTCCTACTAATCACAGGCGGGGCCTAGATGCACCCCTGAGCACAGACCTTTCTAAGAACAGTGCTGACAGATCAAATGAGGCTCAAATTCAATCTAAACCTGTGCCAGATTTAACAGACAGTGAAGTTGAAATGGGAACCAAAGCCAAAGATAGAGGTGTATCCTTCGGAGCCTCTAAAAGAGCTGAAGAAACCAAGGTGCCTTCCAAGATGTGTTTTGGATGTTACTCAGCACTGACTAAATAAACCATTGGCGAATCTGATGTTTTCAAATTACACGTGATTAAAGATATCAATTCAAGCATTTGCTAACTTTTTTTTTTATATTTTTTTGCTGTAAACATAGGGTGAGGGGTGAATTAGGTTCTGTGGAGGGGCTGATTTATGCAGACCTGGTATATACAGACTGGAGTCATGTCTCAGAAAGTGCACAGATTAACTCATTGACATTTCTCCGTAGCGTGCGCCCCGACTTTTGAGTTCAACCCTGTGAAGAAGCAGCTGTTGGGGGCTAAAGACGGCCGTGTTCTGATAGAGTGCAAACCCAGAGCTGCTCCGAGACCACGCTTCACCTGGACCAAGGGCAAAGAGCTGCTTTTCAACAACTCACGGTCACTACTGCCTCCCTGTGCATGAGCGTGTATAGACCCACGGTGGCTTTGTTTTCACTGGGCTCCTCTTCCCCATGCAGCATTTCCATCATGTTCGACGGGACCCTGGAGATACTGAACGCCACGAAGAACGATGAGGGATTCTACACCTGTTTTGCTGAGAACGACAGAGGAAAAGGGAACAGCACGGGGTACCTCACCATCACAGGTAAGCACACATACAACTATTAAACGACAGCACTAATCGGCGGCACGGTGACTGAGTGGATAGCACTCTCGCCTCTCAGCAAGAAGGTCCTGGGTTCAAATCCCGGTTGGACCAGGGCCTTTCTGAGTGGAGTTTGCATGTTCTCCCCGTGTCTGCGTAGGTTTCCTCTTGGTGCTCCGGTTTCTCCTACCACTAAAAATATGTGCAATAGGTATGGCATGTGCCTCCTGTACTGGCACCCCCACCCAACAATTGTAAACCGCTTTGAGACTCCGATGTGCAGTGAAAAGGCGGTATATAAATAAATAAAAGCTTACTAAAAGCTTAATCTCAGTGAAAATGATCCACAATTTGAAATGGATCCTGATAATGTGTTTTTCACTTCATGACATTGGGCCTCATTCACGAATATCTTCTCAAGAATCTTCTTAAATTTCTTCTCAAGTCGTTCTTAAGTAGATTTCTAAGAAGACCCTACGTGGGATTCATCAACACGCTCGTAAACCCCTGAATTGTTCGCAGCTGTTCTCTTAGATTGATGCCAGCTCCTCGTAAGTAGAGCGCGCGTGCCAGGTGATTCATTCACATAGGTACTTAGCATAGGTAACCGCCCATTAATGCCCATATAAGGGACTGCAGGGCCGTGTGCAGACGCCAGAGGAAACAAGGAAACAGCAACATACCTAAAGCAAAGAGTTACGAGCGAGCAAAAGAGTTACCCTTGTTTCTTCTTTTGCCAGACTGAGAAAAAAGTCATAAAATGTTGACTTTAAAGTCGAAATATTATGAGAATAAAGTCGAACTAGCAAAATCATGAGATTAATCTAAAAATATTATAAAATTAATCTAAAAATATTTTTAGATTAATCTCATAACATTTTGGGATTCATTATTAAATTAATACATAATATATGTTTTAATTAATCTCGTAACATTTTAAGATTAATCTCATACATTTTTTAGATTAATCTCAAAATGTTATGAGATTAATTTAAAAATATATTATGTATTAATTTAATAATGAATCTCAAAATGTTATGAGATTAATCTCAAAATATTTTGGACCCTGGGAGGAGATCCAGCGTGGACTATAGCGCTGAGACCAATGCAGACCCGAGGAGAGACTGGAGAGACCGGCGCGCAGAGACCAGCGCGGACCGCGTGACTGCATAAACCATAGATTGGAGAGACCAGCGCGGTCCTGTTATAGATTCATAGATTAAAAAATGACTAAATTACCATAAACAATTAAATGAATAAATGCATACATCAATATGACAAACACATCACTGTAATGTTGTGTTTTATTGAACTTCATAACACCAGCGTGCGAACATGTCGGCACTGAATGTGTGTACGAGTGCTCCTGAGCACCCAAGAGAAATTCTGGTTATGAGAAAATTTCATGAATGCCACAATCTTCGTAAAATCCTCGTAAGTAGGATTTATGCACAAATTTGTTCATAAGAACAGTTCGTGAATGAGGCCCATTGATTGTAAATGCTACTTGGAGAAAGAATACAAAATGATTATTTCAGAAGAGACTTTGTCATTCATACACTTCAACAGCAGAAGTATGTACGCAAACTTTAACCACATAAAAGAATATTTACAGCAAATTAAACTTCCATATAGTATTGTAGCAATATCAGGTTTAAGGAAAATAAAGGGATGGATTTTGAGATGGAGGGTTATGATCTGAACTATGTGAATAGAGAAAATGGTGGTGGTGTGGCTATACAGTATATGTCCATACATCAAGATCAGGCTGCTAGCAAGCTGCTGCCAACCACATAGCATGGAGCATGACCTGCGACACACGGCGGTTCACTGTGAGGTCCAGACAAGCCCCGGCGATCCAAGATGGCGCCCTATTCAAATGAATGGTTGTGCTCAGTGGCGCTTTGTGACGGCATGGGGGCTGAAAGATTAGCGGAAGTCGCCTGGAACTCGCAAAGATCTATGGGAAACTCGCCTGTATTTGGGCATCGTCTGGTCCTCCCGGTTCTGCGCAGTGGATGAACTCCCATAATGCGTTGCGCCAAACACACGTGTGTGGGTCTCACACCGGGTCTCACGCACGTGCACAGAGGGGCTTGGCCGCGCTCTGACCAATCTGAGCAGCTCATCCGAGCGGGAGTTAGAGCGAGAGCCAGACGAGCAGAGTTTGTGGCACTAAAGTGTGGATTTAAACACAACCGAATGATTTAAGAAGAAAAAAAGTTCAGGATGACAAGGGACACTAAAATCCCCACAAAATCCGACCTTTATGAAAGCTGTAGGTTCTCTGTCAGCTGAGGTCGAGCTGTTTTAATATGTATTGAGTTCTATGGGGAACATTTCTGGGTAGCCCGCGTGAATTTAGTCTGGTCTAGTCTGCAGTACCGCGAGAATCCCCCGAGCACATGAGTTATTCAGCTACAAGCTAGTAAGACCCTATCCAGGTATTATAATAAATCCATGGGTCCAGAGGACACAGACGCAGACAGACATTAGCGCCACGCAACCGCTGCACCAGGGTCTGTCTGTGAACTGTTCAGCCACGAAGCATTCAACAGAACATTTGTCTGTTTCTGTTTAGAGAGATGGTTTATAGATGATTAAAGGAGACTCAAAGCAGAGGTCGATAGAGAAGCATTTATCAACCTATGGCACACATGTTCACCTGTTGCGGTTTTGGTGTTTTTAAAAATTTTGGTTGTACAGCAGATATACTCCAATAAAATTGTATAACTGCTAGTAAAACATGACAGTGACCTTTATTTATAGTCAGAAAAGACCTTTTGTGGGTCTCATTCTGGTCTCTCTGGTTCACCATCTCTCTCTGAAAAAAATAAATATGGTTCTCTAAAATATGGGTGAATAGGTAACACTTTATTTAGCCGACTTTACAACAGTCCTGAAGAGTGGTGTTTTTTCATTACTACAAGTATTAGCATATTAGCTTTAGCTCATAGGACCTTCTGCAAATGTTTGTATTTACTAGATATTATGATCTGTAATATTTTCCGTCGTTATAGACCATGTTAGTAAGGCCTCACTTTTACTCAAAATGGTTGCTGGAAGGAATCACCACGGCAACGAGATCATATTAAATAGAAATCCATTCTGCCCGGTTGCCATGGAGATTGTGTTACATCATAAAGGGGAATCTGATGGGCGGGACTGAATCCAAGATACTGGAACCACAAGAGTCAGAGAGACTCCAGGTCAGAGAGACTTCAGGTCGGAGCCAATATCCTTTACTTCGATAATTCTTGTTTGTACATTTTAGAATGCCGCGCAGAAGTGCGCGACTTGAGAATGCGGGGTACTACGATGTGGACGGTAGCCCTCGCATCTCCTATTCCACTGTGACTCGGCGTCACACTTTCCCCCAGGACCAGGTGAGACCCCCTCAGGTCCATGTGCCTGAGCCAGTCCCGAGGTCTGAGCCAGTCCCGAGGTCTGAGCCAGTCCAGAGGTCTGAGCAGACCAGGTCTTGGCGCTGGTTCAGCTGGGGCTTGCTCCTGAGGCTCCTCTTCTCCCTGACGGCCCTGGTCATCTCTGAGGCTCACATGTGGAGTCTGAGGAAGGAGTTTCATCATCTCCAGCAAGATCTGGGACGTCTGCAGACTATGGTGCCGTCACAAGCCACCTTCTGGGGGAACTTTGCGTTGGCATCGCATGGAGCTCAGGTCCTAACCGCCCTCAGCTCCAGCACCCACCAACAAAAGGGTTGGCTGACTCCCAGTTGGCTGACACCGTACTCTCCAGGGGAGGTGATCAAGGGCCAGCATTACCCTTTGGTCCCTGGGCACTGCTGGGCCTTCTCTGGCCAGACAGGAGAGCTGTTTGTGGCCCTGGCTCAGAAAATTCATGTGTCTCACATCACTGTGGGGCACATCTCTAAAGAGCAGTCGGTCACAGGAGAGATCCTGTCGGCTCCAAAGGCCTTTGCCCTTTATGGACTGGAGGAAGTGGATGGACCAAAGTTCAACCTGGGGACCTTCCAGTACGAGTCTGACGGAGACTCATTCCAGACCTTTGAGATCAAAGAGCACACCTCCAAGAGCTTCAAGTTTGTGAAGCTGGAGGTCCTGACCAACCATGGCCTCGAGGACTTCACTTGTCTTTACAGCTTCAGGGTCCACGGGAAAATGCCTGAGGCTGCAACCACCTGGTAAGCTCCACATTGTCCCAGGCCACTAATTTAAAGGTTTACTTTTCAGAAATTGCCATCATTGGGTCTGACCAGACCGGATGAGGGCAACAGAAGAGCTGCTGACACCACATGTTCAGGTCCTTTGAGTCTCGTCTGGAGGAGACAGGGACAGACTCTGGTTTCGTCTCATGGTTTGAACCTTGTTCATGGACAGATCTAGATTCTGTTCATTTCATTTTGATTTCAAACCTTGTTTGGAACTGTACGTCTCACAGAGGAGGGGGCGGGCATTTGTGATGACCTTTCCCTTCAGTAAAGTGTGATTGACAGCTGCTTCAAGGTGACATGAGGAATGAAATGAACAAAATGAGGATGTGTTCCACGTGTTGGTTAAAACCATGAGATCCAGATCTGACCTGAAGTTCTGCTCAAGACGAAGTTCTTTTGGTTGAGAACATGTGGGGTCAGACAGACACTAACAGGGCGGCACGGTGGCACAGTGGTTAGCACTTGTGCCACACAGTGAGAAGGTCCTCCAGGACCTTTCTGTGTGGAGTTTGCTTGTTCTCCCCGTGTCTGCGTAGGTTTCCTCCGGGTACTCCGGTTTCCCCTACCACTAAAAAACATGTATAATAGGTGAATTTACAGGTCTACCTTATCATGAATTGGCACCACCCCATTCGACAATAAATTAGAAATAAAAACATTCATTTTAAACTACAACCACCATGTGTTTTGCTTATTTCCGTATTATTTCTATTGACAGAGTAATGCATTGCTATGTCTATGAACCTACTTTGAAATGGCGGACGAAAGAGGCAGGAGAGATATTTTAGAAACACTGGATGATAGTGGGGCCAAATTTACTTCTCAAAACACTTTTATGCTCATTGACCAATTAAGCCAGAAGCAAACACTGTTCCTCTGTCCATTTTGCCACCGTTACACCAAAGTGAGTAGAAATGGTAAAAGTTGGAAGAGAAAAAATGACCAGCATGGCACTTAATATAAGCAAATACATTTCACTATCTCTGTTTTAATACTGTGCAAGTGGGCCTAAGTTTTCACACAATCTTTTTAATGATTAAAAATACTAACTCTTCACAGCATTCAATTTTACATTGACATATCTAACCATCATTTGTGCAGAATATTATTTACGATGACACAGTCTTCCTAAGATTAGATTCCATGTTTAAGTTTTTTCCATTTTAGGGTCCATATTTTTGCCATTATCACAAAAGTAAGTTTTCTCAAACTTTTTGGATCAAAAGAATGACTCATACCTGGCAACGGGGTCAGCCACGCCCCCTCACTAAGGAGTTTTTGTCCATTCCTTGCTCAGAGTTCTCTGAGAATTTTAAGTGTGTTTATTTGGGCATCTAGAAGATACAAAATCAATGATATTCTGGAATAACTTTTTAGCTTAGACTCCTAGCGTCTAAGAGTTTTTAGGTTAAGTTAGGAGCTCTCCGAGAGGACTTTCAGAATCTTTCGGCATACGGCCCCAGGTCTTTGGGTTTGGACAGCAATGTGTTTCTCTTAACATTTTGGCAATGTGAAATTCAATTAATCATTGAGGGTAAATTGGAATGCTGACAAAGGAGTTTTACACCGCTGGATTTAAAGATGCTGTGTCTTGATAAAAAGACACGTTCTGAAAAGGATGAAGGACCCAAAATGCAGGACTGCCAAAATAATGGATTTAATAAAAAGTTATACAAAATAAGATCTAGCAAAAAACACAGGGAACGAGGACAGAACTAAAACAGACGAGGAATGACAATGACGGAACAGGGAGTGAAAGAACACACAGGGCTAAATACAAGACTAACGAGACACAGGTGATACACATGAGGGCGGGGCAGGTAGTCAGACAGGAAGTAACACTAAAGAAGACACAGGGATCAACAAACTACAAAATAAAACAGGAAAGAAATCTAAACCATGACAAAGACAGACGGATCAACTCCTCGAGTTCATGGAGGAGGTTACACAGCTGAGAATCGAAAATAATGAGAAAGATAAGACGATTGCGGACTTGGAGAAGAGAGTGGAGGATTTGGAGCAGTACTCCAGGATCAATGACGTTGTCATCACGGGACTAAACATCAGACCCTGGTCGTATGCCAAGGCTGTGACCGGCATTAATGGGAGGAAGCCCGACGAAATGGAGGTGAGCTCCGGAGAGCAGTAAGTGGCTGCCTTTCTCGAGTCCAAAGGGATCACGCTGGATCTGGATGACATCGAGACTTGTCACCCACTCCCCCGGAGGAGAGAGAATGATATGCCATCTGTAATCATGAGGTTCATCAATAGGAAAAAGAAAATTGCTTACAAGGAAGGAATTTAAAAGGGACAAATGTGTACTTGAATGACCACTTAACGAAGAAGAACGGAGAAATTGCTCGAAAAGCCAGGTACCTAAGGAAGAAAGATAAGAACCAAAGCACGTGGGTGAGTAACTGTAAAGTCTTGGTTGTGAGAAGTATGGAGGAGCTGAATACGTTTGACTGACACTAATGACATCCGCTTGCAATGCTCCTACTAACAAAGACAATCGGGACATAGGGACACTTAATTTGGGTTATGGTTAATGGACACCATGTCCAAATAAATGTTTTTTGCCGATGACCCCACTTGAATTACTGGACTTAAATATTGATTTTAGTATTAATGGTAAACCAAATCCATGTTACTAGTTCCTTGCTCTCATAACGGTTCTATCGTCAATGTTCACATGCATATGTCTGGTCTCTGTCACATCACAAACAGTGAAAAAGATGATCAAACAAAATGAAAACACAAAAAGTAAACTAAGAGGGACTGAAGACAGGAACTAAAACAGATTAGGAATGATAATGACGGAACACACAGGGTTTAAATACAAGAACGAGACACAAATACACATGAGAGTCATCAGGAAACAGGAAGTACAACTATAGAAGACACAGGGGTTAACAAATTACAAAATAAAACAACAAATAAACCTACACAATGACAGATTCATGTGCAATTCAAACATCTCCTGCCCCCTATCTCTCGTTGTTGGTATAGTCCTGAACAAAGCTATGGTGTTATCTGAAACTGGAACTATGCAACAACTACAAGAATATATTGAAATGGTTTGGTCAGTGGCCCTCACTTGTTTCCCTCTGGTCTGTCTGCAGAGGCCACCCGTCTGGTGACAGTACCTGAGGACTCGGAGGTGGCTGTGGGGGATGACATGGAACTGAGGTGCGCTGCTTCTTATGACCCCATGTTGGACATCACTTTCATCTGGTCTGTGGACTTCAGGGTGATCGACTTCAGCTCCGAGTGGCAGCACTACGAACGACTCGAGGTACGGAGCTCTGTGTTTGTTTATCCTCTTGGTAGAATTGAGGAAATGTGAAATAAGTTATTTTTGAACAAACACACACAAACACCCACAGGTCCAGGATACAAATAAAACATGGAAAATAATACATACATGTGTAAAAACACCAGAATCTCTTGGAGAAGTAAAATGTGGAGTCACTGGTTGATGCTTTGGGTGTAGAGCAGATTGCAGGAGCAAATGTGGTCTTCTGTTTTTTCTCTTTTTAATTTATTTATCCATCTTTCAAAAATATTACACAGCTGTGAAGGGGGGGTTAACATGGAATACATGTAAAAAGTAGTGAGTAACTGTTAGCAGTTGTAAGCAAGTAAGTAATGTTTAATTACATAGCACATTTTACAGACCAAGGTCACCCAAAGCACTTTACAAAGTTCAAAATTCAGATATTGTTTTATTCTCTCCACACACGGTGATGACGGAAGCGAGACCCTGTACTGGTGCATCAAAGCCCCCAACCAACACCATCACAATCCACTCACTCACTCACTACATTCAGACCTATAATAACCTATGTTTTTAGTAGTAGGGAAAATCAGAGCACCTGGAGGAAACCTACACAGACACGTGAAGAATATGCAAACTCTACACAGAAAGGCCCGTGTTGTAATAGTTATTTTTTATAAGGTTATGATTGGGCATAAGATAATCCTATTGTGATGCGGGACAAAATACCAATATTTCCAAGAGTCCTATCTTGAACAACTAAATCAAGTATTCAAAGACGCAAAAGCTGTCAAGATGTGTTATGACCCTTTTAAAGACTCATTCCAACGGGTTTTACAAATCCATTATTCTATGTTTCCTACCGACTAACACACCACATTGTTCTTCAGGGAGAAGATGGAGTTGGAGACCTGAGGATAAAGAATGCTCAAGTGTGGCATAGGGGGCGCTATAGCTGCACTGCTCAAACTGTGGTGGACAGTGACTCCGCTTACGCTGATCTCAAAGTTGTCGGTTGGTAAAACTTTGCTTTCTCTGTATGTTTACAAGCTTAGAAGCGTTGTGAAGTCTTGGAACAAACTCAAATTGGTAAGGTTAATCTGCAGTCAAAGGCAAGGCAAGTTTATTTGTATAGCCCATTTTATACACAAGGCATCTCTAAGTGCTGAACAAAACAAGATAGAAAAAATCACACAAAAATAGTGAAGATAAAAAAAAAACCTGCACTGCTATTGCCACCGTTTCTTTAATTGCCACTTTTATCCTGAGCAGACTATATATTCTTTGCATTTAACCTGTTTGCACACTATTCCAAAGTGACATGTAAATTTCTCCAGTGTGAGATCAATAAAGTCTATCTTATCTTAAACATCCTTCAGTTGTAAGCACTTCTCTAAACCTGGATTTGAACACTGTCAGAGAAGAAGCCTGTCTCACATTTTCAGGAAGACTGAAAAAGAATAGCTTTTTACCCAAATTTCTATCTGTGAAACTTCAGTTAGAAAACATATCTTATCAACATTTATGTTTGAGAGGTGGTTGAGTACATGCATTATGATTGTCCCAAGGTAAACCAGGGCCTCCAGGGGTGATCAGGATCGATGAGATTGGAGACACTTGGGTGAAGCTGGAGTGGACCAAAGGAGCAGAGCACAACAGCCCCATCACTCACTACACTGTGGAGACCAGGTTCTTCTGGGCTCTTCACGACGACGACTGGAGAAGCGCCAGCACGTGTAAGATCAATGAAAACCATCTGCTTTCATACATCCCTGTCTCTAATGGTTTGATTGTCCATGAAGATGAGGCAGACATTGTTATAAATTGTTTTCTATCCGAAGATCAACCTTATGCAACGTTGCCTTAATGCATCTCTTGTTACTCTCCAAAAATATGTACTTGATCAAAATGTTCTAAGTCGGGTTTAAAAAAATAAAAGAAGGTAGTGGGTACTTGATGAAGGCAAATAGGGCTGTAAGGGTTACAAGTATTTTTCCATAAAATGTTTAAGCAATCCCTGCTCTATTCAGACCGAAGACATGGGATTGTTGTGCGATTTTTACATAAAGCATGACATTAAAAAAATATGTTTAGATATCCCCAGGTGGCTTTTCTTCAGCTATACATGGGAAATACATGAATGTAAAAAACTAGTGATAGAACCAAACACTTCTGAAAGTTGGGAACTAGTTTGATGAACATATGACACAGTAAAATAAAAACAAATCGAAATCGGGGTACCCCAGCTTTATTCAATCATCGAAATCATTATTAGCTACAGCCCTAAACTAACCCTAAACAGGAATTGCCAGGATGCCAGTGGGAACATTGCTCCAAGAGGTGAAGATGGGCCTCCTGCCTTCTATTTTCATTGTTTAATTTGTATTTTTGAAGCATCCATATTGAATAATTTTCTTGTGAGAGGGGATAAATATTTTTCAGTATATTTATGAATTTCCACTTTTATCCACAGCCCCATCTGTGATCGATGGCTCCCTGGAGAAGGCTGATGTGACGGGCCTGTATCCCTGGATGGAGTATCAGTTCAGAATCATCGCCCACAATGAGTACGGTGCAGGAGAGGCCAGCATCCCCTCACTCAAGGTCAAGACCTGGGACGCACGTAAGCAACTTGAATAAATGTGTATTGTGGAATATACAATATTGGAAGTGTTGATGGGACTGAAAATTAAGTGCATGTATTCTTAGTCTGTTTGTAATATTCCAGCTCCGGTTGTGTCCCCTACTGATGTCGCTGGTTATGGAGGAAGACATGGAGAGATTGTCATCACGTGGACAGTATGTAGCTATGCTTTCTCAGTATAAGTTGCTATTTTCTCATAATATTTAACTGACAAAGGGTAACAATTAGAAAACATGTCAGCTTGTTAGTATTAGAACCAAGCTGTTTTGAATGTGAGGAATGAGTTTAACTTAATTACTTTGTTAATTTGTTATAGTTTAAAGGTTTTGTACCCTAGCTTTAATGGTAATAATTATCTTTAACAATAAACAGGATACAAAATAAGCAAAATTAGATAGTTTGAAAAGGGTTAGGACAAATTATTACACCATTCTGACAACCTGGTGTGGAAAAAAATAATCTTTAATTTCTTCGGAAAACACAAGGGAAAACTGGACAAACAGACAGCAGTTGATAAAGTTACAAGTCCTTCAATTGAAATAATTATTTCAAAAAACCTTGACTGTCATATACACTCCCTGCAAATTGATATATTTCAATGCAATACTTTTACACTAACTTTGTCTATGTATTATAAACAATAACAATTGTGCAATATCAGAGAACTGATTTCATAAACTTATTATGTCACATAGTTATGTCCCAGAATACATTAAAATGCATGCGAGATATAGAACTCAGGTACTATAATAGTAGATACAACACAAGAAAAATTTATTTCCACGTACTGGGATATTTTTGTTTCCAGCCTGTGCAGCCGTGGTATTTCTATGGAAAAAAGTTTGGCTACATCTTGGCGTTCAAGCCTCACAATGCGTACGACTGGTGGTACGAGACCATTTCTGACCCAGAGACCAGGAGGCACGTGCACCGGGACTCCTACTTCATCCCCACAGACGAGGACTTCCAGGTGCGAGAGTTCCAGGTCAAAATCAAGTGTTTTAACGTGAAAGGAGACGGCCCGTACAGCCTCACCAAGATCATCTACTACCCACGAGACGGTGAGGCGCCTTCGATAATAATGTTTTTTCATTATATTAAAGCAGAGGTACAACATTTTCAAACAACAAGCAATTACTTACCCCAGCTTTAAGCCTAACTATTATGGCAAAGTTAGATTATGTTACACCATTACAAACTGGGAGGCAGTGGCTCAGTTGGTAGAGCATTGGCCCACCAAAAGACCTACTCCCACTGATGTCTGCGGCCGTTGTGTCCTTGGGCAAGATACTTAACACCACTTTGCCTGAAGCCCCCTCTGAAAGATCAAGGCTCCTGTGGACTCACCACCTGCAGGAGGATCAGTGAGGGGCTGGTGCTCTGTACTGGGTGTAGCTCAGACTGCCACCCCCCCAACCCAGAAATGGATTAAGGGGAAGAAAATGGATGGATGGATGGATATTACAAACAACTAATAGTCAGTTTTACAAGCCATGAAGCAGAAATTTAAAGCTTGGGTCCTCTGACTATAAGTGATATGTCAACAAATTATATTCTAAGGATTATATCCATTTTAAAGACCCAGCTTTAATGTTCATTGTCTGATTTGCTGTGACCTTGATTTGAGGGTTTTGAAATTTGAAATGATCCTTTCCATATTTTATTTTTTATTTAAAGAATTCCTTGCACTCCTAGTTGTCAACTGTGGAACACACACCCTCTGTATAATGAAATATCTGGCTCGTATCAGCGCAAGGATAGTAGTCAAAAAAGTTGTGTCAGAACTGCTATATTGAAAAAAGTCTGCAGTATTGAAAAATTGCCGCCATATTGATTTTTTTATGTGTTTTTTTCCCCAGAATAGTAGCCATAGTATCTGTGCCAAATGTCATGCTTTAATAATAATAATAATACATTTTATTTCTTAGGCAACTTTTGACATACTCAAGGTCACCTTACAGTAGATTTAAAGTACAGTCAAAATACAAAGTTAATACCAAAGTGAATAATTCTGTTTAAATATGTAATTAATCTGATTTCTTATACTCGCCACAGTCCCAATTGAGCCTCCCACTGACGTATACGCTCGGCCTGTGTCCTCCACCGAGGCGCTGGTGTGGTGGCTGCCGGTGATGGACACGGGCACCGGGCTGCAGCAGTACATCGAGGGCTATCAGGTCAAGTACTGGAGGAAGTACGACGACCCGGAGCCAGGGGCAAACCGCATTTTTGTCTCGGCTTACGTCAATCAAACCCGGCTGGAGAACATGCTGCCAGACTCCCACTATCTCATCGAGGTCCGAGCCTTCAACGGAGCGGGACTGGGACCGCCCGGAGAGCACTGCGAGATGTTCACCAAGAGAGCACGTAAGGACACGGCTTTAGCTGACTGTGACTGTGAAAGGAGATGAATAATATCTGTGCCAACAACAACAACAAGTAAAACAATTTCATACAGTGTGGCAAAACAAGTATTTGGCATTCACACTTTCTTCCTTGGGGGTGGAAACATTAGGGTTTGGGGCTTCTTTTCTGCAAAGGGGACGGCTTGCGCAATATCCAAGTATTAATTATACATAATTTAGACAGACAATATTACATACACATAATGGGTTCTTCCTGATCTTAACTAGCAAAAAATCTACAACCACTTCAAAGTTTCTTGGTCAATTTGCGCAGTTTTCTCACGGCCCAATTGTTACAGATTGCGTAGTGGCTCAACACACATATACACATAGGGTTAGAAACAACATCATTGATTTTATTTCCTACCTTCATTTCCTACCAGCACCGCCCGAGGCTCCCAGAATGTGGCGCTGGATCTCCTGGACTGGAATGTGGCTGTACGTTTGGTGGGACCATGTCTCTTACGACATTTTTGGAAACTACTCCTTCCCCCTCTACTACAAGGTCAAACAGGACATCCATCAGTGGCTATTGAACTTTTTAACTTATAGTAATATTGATGATGAAACATGTTTTATTGCAGGTTTTGTTCAGGAAGACGGGTTACATCTACGGGAAAGTGTACGTCACTGGGTGGCACTTCATGGACTTCCCCATGCCTCAGCTCGGGGACTATGAGTTGTTGGTGCGTGGGCGCTATGAAGGGGGCGATGGTCCTGTCAGAATGATCCATCTTTTAGGTAAGTATTCCTCATATTTTGTAGTTATACATAGTTGTTCACATTTGACCAGTCCCTTACATCAGTGTTTCTCAACCAGGGGGTACGTAAGGGTATTAGTTTTTCAAAAACTTGCAAACATGGATAGTGAGAGGTTAATATAGGCTATTATTATATTACTTGGATTGTTCGCACGCTCTGATTGGCTGATTTGCGCTCTGATATTTTCCCATCTCGGACCGTTACTATGACAATTGGTCCGCAGCGCGTATCAGATTTGATATCTTTCCTCTGTAAAATAAGAAATAATGAGCGACGACTGGAAGCATCCTCCCAGTGAATTCTTTTATCCGGACGAGTTCGAAGAGCCAGAGGAAGTAAAATCAGCAAATAATGACAAAAACACAACTCCTAACAGTCAAGAAGAGATTGATAACTTTGTTACAGACCAGAAAGGTAAAAACACGATAAGGAAAACCAAGTCGGACATGAACATACTTCACAAATATCTAAAAAGCATTGGTAAAGACACAGAAGAGATTGAGAACTTACCAGCGGGCGACCTCAATCATCTGATAAGCAAGTTCTTCATGTCACGATTTGACAGTTTGGTTGCATGTGTTTTTGCTAGTTGAAACCAATCGATATTTGCACAAATTAAAAATAGTCATAAAATAAAACATTTATTAACCTCGCCTGCTCGGCCTGTACAGAAAAATATCATACCTAGGTCTTTTTTCACAGACCTCTCCACGGCCTGTACTAAAAGGCAGCGGTCTGATATTTCTCTGTACAGACCTCGCGCTCGTTTAATAAGCCATAAACGGCTTATTATGGCATGTTTTACCTCATTGTAAATCTAATTGTCTCTAGATCACAATATCTATTTAATTCCCAACCCAGAACGGTTGTTGATCATTAATTTTTTCAAAATAATCTGAAAGTCAAGTTAAATAAAAAAAGTTTATATTTTGTATGCATTCCTAAATAATCAAAGTTCAATACTCCTGGTTATGTGAAAGAACCCCAACGCCATGTACCCCACATCAGGATGTACTTGTGCCCTGTGTACCCTGGCAAGGCAGGACACTAGGCAACACAAGTGGTAACCACTTTATATCAAACTATTTCAACAACTGTTCTCTGCTCGTTTGTCCACATCCATCATTTCTTATTCTATTTTGGCGAAGAGTTGCAAAATTTGTTCGGACTCTTTTTTCAGGAATGCCCTGAGGTTGCATAGCTATTGTTTAATGTTTTTAGTTGTAGGGAAAACCAAAGCACCCAAAGGAAACCTATGCAGACACAGGAAGAACATGCAAACTCAGAAATACCCTGTACTGCCCAAGATTCAAACCCAGGACATTCTTGATATAAAACAAGGATTCATTGCACAGACTTTATTTTCCACATTTATTTAACTTAAATGTCTTTTTTTTATATTTCCCCCCAAATGCTTTCTAATAAGATAAAGGCCCCATGTTGTGGACTGATCTGCTTAAGCTCAAAAGTAAGTTTGAAATTGTGTGTTGCCTTGTCTCCTAGGTGCTGCCACCATGACCAGTCCCACTCTGAGCATGTTGCCTTTGCTGCTCTTGGCCCTGGGAGTTCTGACACTGCTGTAAAATAACCAACTATGAGAAGTTTGTCCTTCACCACTCGAGCCTGATCTCCATCACAGTCACTGCAATCTCTTAGTTTGGTTTGTTGATTTACGGTAAAAGATTCATGTAAAAAATGTGTCAACAAAACAATACAAAACAATGTGTCTGTTAGAAATATATAGCGCAGGCTTAGCAAAAATCCTAATGAAATGAAAATGGAACCTCTGTAAATATTGTACTTAATGATGATTCAGTAGTTATAACAAAAAAAAACACCTTAACCAATTATTTATTTATTTATCACTTTTTTTAATCACATTTTCACACCTTTTATAGTGATATCGCTGAGCAGAAGTCCATAATGTTAACTGTAAAATCATATCAGGCTATTATTATCATGCACTTTGGGGTGTTTTGTTTTCTTCCGTCAAACTGCGAATAAATAAATTACACAAAATGATTGCTGTTGTTGCTATTTTAACTCTTTTATCATATTATATTCACAAACACACATTTTACAGACACTATTTGAACAAAGCAGTCTGCCACATACAGTAAAAGTTATTGCATAAACAGTCATAATGCATCAGCACTAACCGTGTGTGTGTGTATTTACAGTATACACACTTTTTACTCTTCCAAATATATCATGACAGCATTTTAATACCAGGCTTCTAACATGGTCTTGAAAACTCTTAAAAGTATTGAATTTAGCTTAAAAAGTGTAATTTTTTGTCATGGATACATTTTCTGAATTGCATTGTCCTCAAAAGTTCCATTTGTCAAAATGTTTTATTTTCGTTTAAATAATGTGGCTTATAAAGACTGGAGGAAGTGTCTCAACATCTCCCCTGGTCCAAACTTGAGCAACAGTCCAAGCTGCAAAAAACAATTTTCAGATTTGTTTAGGAAATAAATGAAGAAATTATAAACATAAAGTCCATCTTTGCTGTGGGGGTCTGTGAAGAAGGCAGTAGTAGTCATTATTTTATGACAGGATGGATCAAAATAATGCAGAGGACTAAGTTCCGTACGGGGATAAATGAAGTTCACATTTACATTCACATAAAAAAGGTCTGAAAACGACTTGACGACTCGAACCCTGTAATTTGCATGTATGGAATTTTCATGGGGGAATTTTGAACACGTTTAACTTAACTGCAATGCTAAGGCTCTTACAGCAGGTGGCAGTATAGCTTTACAGCAACAGTCAACAAGCAGCCAAACACATTCAAGTCTACTCGCCAATTGTATTTGTTCAATCAACCTCATGTATTTTGTATTTTTATATAATGCTGTAATAACATTGTGGAAATAGCTCCTATCTCTCCACAAAAAAACCCTTTACAGAGCACTATCTATTGTTGATGTCTTTTATCTGCTCCCCAATACAGACATGCACTACCTCTCATATTACTTTGCCTCCCCTAGTAAATCACAGGAAAATCAGAAAAATCCCATGTAAAACCTTATTAAATCACTATCTATAATTCAGACACAACAGATGTAGCGGTCGGGAGTGCTTTTCTTTTGTGGAGGAGGATATTGGAAGGACACCATTTGTTGTGTATTCAGATAAAGCTTCTCTTTGAACAATGACCAAATGTTGCCGTTTGCATACAATATTTTTGTCCGTCTTCTTTTTCCAACTGAGACATTTTCTATGTAAAGGTAAAATTAAGCTTGTTAATGTGCCGTGTTGAGCATGAAAAAAAGATCTTTTGGCTGTGGATGGTTTGTGCTAAATTCACCCATTTCACAGTTTTGACAGCTTGTATGTCACTGCCCAGCCCTCCATGTTGGAGTGTGCCCTTGGACAGAACAAGTGTGTCTTGTGTTAAACATCCCTGTGCAGTGTAATTATACTCTGCTTATGTACATTTGTGGTTTTGCATGTTTTAGATTTTTCTTATGATTTGTAACTATTTTTAAATGTCTACTTGTGTTTTTCTGTCTCTCTGTTGACAGTATGGGCTGTATCTGTCTATCTGCATTATGTTTGAGCAGTGGATATGCCACATCTTTCATTGCACTAATTAATAGCCTGTCCCTGCACAGCTACTGTTCCGGTGGATATTAATGTGGAGAAGAGCTTCTGACGGATGAGGAGAGGGAAGAGGGTCACTTTTGTTGATCAGGGAAGTGTATGCAGACGCAGACCAACACCTGTGACCACTGACCAAAGCAAACCACTCTCGTAATATCAACTCAAGTTATAGGACAACTAACATTAACCAAGTTTAAGTTTATTGAATTTATACATGCAACTTCAAAAGCTAACTGCTAAATGTTATTTTATTTTATTTTTTATGTAAAAACATTGACAAAATAAGATTTCACATATTGTAATTTTTGACAGTTGGCAGTACAGACTGTTTGAGTCTGTTTATGCAAAAGTGAAAAGTTGTCTTTGTTTGTCTCTGGGAGCTCTCCAATACCTCTGGTATTGGGAAACAGCTCACATGGTTCACTGCTTTCACTGCAGTCTGTGCTGTCCTCTGGAGATGATCTTCAGAGCCCTCTTCTTTCTGATCCCTTCTTTTTATTACAGCCAATTCAATTCAACTTATTCTTGTGTAGCCCTAAATCACAACAGTAGTCATCTCAGAGACCTTATCAAAACCGTGGAAATTGCCAACACAGATCAGATAATCAACAATTAAGACACAAAGCCATGAAACAGACAATGGGACAACGGGTGAATAGCAATGAACATACTACAGTCAAAATCCTAATAATGTAGACCGATAAAGTAGGAAGGAGGAGAGGATGGTGCTCAAGTTACAATACTTCTCCCTACGCAGCTTGACTGACACTAAGATTTTTAGTCTTCCCTGAGTTGTACCTTCCTAACCGTATGCTATATTAAAGAGGACTGTTTTAAGCCTGGCCTTGAATGTAGAGAACTTGTCTGCTTCCTTAACATGAATGGGAAGCTGATTCCACAGTAAAGGAGCTTGGTAGCTAAATTCTCTGCCGCCGACAGTGCTTTTTGAGACCTTAGGAACTACACCAGACAGGGCGTCAGCAGTGTGGTGTAGGTGGTCAACAGGTTCTGCTGTGGGAGACCATGTCTTTTGAGAACCGTAAAGAAGTGGAGGCGCTTGGAGGTTTTCTTCATCAAGTGCCCGCTCAGGTTGAAATCCATTATGGAAGTACTTTATGGTGGTGACTACTGTTACCTGCATGTTCTCCCTGTGTTTGAGTAGGTTTCCTCTGGGTGCTCCGGTTTCCCCTACCACTAAATTTTGTTTAAACATTTGCTCCAATCTCTATGTGGAGTGAGAGAGAAATGCTTACAACAACTGCAAAGAAGACTCTGGTCTGTGGAAGGCGCCATATAAATATTTATTTATTTATTTATTTATTTGTTTATTTGAGCAGACAAGTACTGCTCTATAAAGATGACTTACTCACTTACAGCAAATTCTGATTTGTGATGAACTTTTCATGTATTCTCTCCACACACCAAGTGTAATTATTTCTTTACTCTATTCATTTCAAAATCAGTAGGCCCCGCAACTGTTCTGTTGAATAGCTTTTTATCATTTTGTGTGCACAGCCGCATTGATCTGTAAATAATTACACATCTTATATTTTAATGAAGGAAGCTGTACTTGCCAACAAACCTCATTTATTTTATTATTTTTCATAACATAGTGCAATATTAATCACAACACAGCCTATTCCCTTTTTGCACATAGTTACCTGTTTATTGATTGCCCTACTTCTTAAGGCTCAAATAACCATAGCAACAACAACATGCAGTGAGTAAATAGATTAATCCTGAATGTATTATTCCCTCAGCAGTGGCTGTTTGATCTGAAGACGCTCTGGTCCTTTTCTTGAACTTGCCAAGCTGTGGCACATGAATAGATTTAATAATAAACTCCTGATGTTCACATGGAGCCAGTGGGCTGTGTGAAATCTCACCTCGAACTAACTGTACACACTCCAGTTGTGGCTGTTGCATTTTCACACTGTTGCACTTTTGCAAGCGTTTGGCACATAACAAACCCTTTTTTACAAATGTGTGAAAAATGTATGTGTGTACATGGACACAAGAAGGAAAATATGGCTTTGTCAATTAGAGACATTGTTCAAAATGCAAGTAAAGGTTGAAAAAGGTTTAGACAAGGCGAGTTTATTTAGATAGTACAGTTTATCTATCTAAAAGGCAATACTTCGACATTTTATGCTTTAGAGATCATCAAAGTGCTATTTGGCCAAAGTATTTATTTTCATTGATTATCTCAAGATTTAGTCGGAGAGACTTCTTTCTCATACTACCGAGGGAGTTAAAGGCCTCAGTTCCTTTTCTTGACGTGGCACTACTTTGATGACGCTGAAGTTTGAACCGGGCCACAGAAGCCCGCCTGCAGGAGGTGCTCGTCAGTGATTGACAGGTGGAGAAATCAAAATGGATACGCCCCAAATGTTCCTGAATCAGCACACACAGCCTCTCTCCCTCATGCTCCACAGTCATGGATGGATTACATGACTATACTGCATATTGTATCATGTCTGTTTTGTTTCACATCAAGCTCTGTTGTTTTTACGGTTCCGGCTGCCAACTATAAGTGTTAGCATCAACTTGGAGAACGTGTTATGATGTGTTTATTTGCATGGTGTAGGCTCGCTCTCAATTTGAGGGAGAGTTTTGATTGGCCACTTGTTCTGGCTGCCCTGATCGTTTCTCTACCTCAGTCCTCTAGCTTTGGGTCTGCCCTCCGGCTCGTTCATTGCTGTGCTTTGTCCAATGCCTCTCAGCAGGTAATTCCACTTATAGCTTCAACCTGCCGCTTTTCTCCCTCAGAGGAGCTGAAAATAAAGCGCAGAGTAGTGAGCATGCCTGTTTTAGAGTGTGTGAGCTGTACCAATTCTTAAAAGTTCCATAATATGCTTTTCAACTTTTCTCTTGTTTAAACATGATTACAGAGCTCTTTGGTCTTCATATACATGCCAGGAGTAGTTTTTTCATTGATTCCCTCAAGCTTTAGTTAAAGTGATTGTCTGCAGTT